ATGTGATATGGACTTATAAATTGTACCCCTGTCTATGGGCATCCTATAAGGGTGTTGGCTAAACATGACGCCAAATGAGCTATTCCTTCCATACATAATATAAAACCAATGATTTTTTATAGTTTTTACTGGTTTTGACAGTTCCTGATGAAGGTTTAGATAAGAGTTTCATGTAAATTTATTGAAATATAAGGGTAACTGTCGAAGAGGTCGCAAATCTAGGCAAAATACACGAAATCCAAGCCGGCTTAGTAGTTCATCGAATAAAACATGGCAAAAACTTACATTTAAATCTCCCAATGAGTTGGTTAACTCTCATTAGTCTTACTCATTCATTAAGAAGTTTTATTCCTTCGTGCTACAGCCGTCGTCAATTTAAGATGTTCGTTATAAGTTTGTTTTTGGGAACTGTATCGATTGTCTGCTCCTGAAGTGTTTATTTTTCATTCAGATATTTTATCTCTTTCATAATTCAATTCCCAACGAAATATGGGACTCAATTCACACAAAAAAAAACCTATCTGCTACTCAACCAAAAACATTGCATCCATTGTGGGGCTATCAGATAATAAATCCCTGTTGCCTTGAAGTGGGTAAATACTCTGGGAATCAGGTTGAGGTGTGGAAATACCCATGCCCTCCTAAATCGACTGAAAACGTCGTAAAAAATTGCAGAGTCATCTCTAGACTTAGGTACGCTTAAAGCGGCGGGTGAGAAATACCCATTCCTTAGGTGCATCATATAGTATTTATAATACCATCCGTATCACCTCGACACCCGTCGTTCCACAACTGAGCGTCTCGTAAGGCAGTTTTTACCGCGCACCACTACTATGTAGAACCAGCTAGCTACTGAAGTATTTCCGAACCAATTCGACTTAGGGTCCTTCAAGAAGAGAGTGTACCAAGTCTTAAAAGGCCGGCAACGTAGTTGCGAGCCTTCTGGTTTCCATGGGCGGCGTTATCACTTAACATCAGCTGAGCCATCTGCCCGTTTGCCTCCTATTAGGTACATTAAAAAAATCTCAGGCTAAAATGTTTATATTATAGTTTTTACCTTTACGAATGCATTATAGAAGAAATTATGTAAGCTAATTTATTTGACATGGCGATTAAAAAGAGTGGCAGAGAGTTTATTGCCTTTTCTTCTCTTCCGTTCTACGCCCTTGATTTGAGAACTGGCACTTAATGTAAAATTAGAAGCATTAATACGTATTTCTTTACTGACAAGTCATAAGTGTACAATGTGTTACTTATATGATTAAATAATTTTTGAATTTGACTCCCGCTCACAGTTTACTAACGAAAATATTGTCTAGCTGAGAATCGATCTCAGAACTACCGTTTTATACGCTATGGTAGTTAAACCACGGAGTGTTGAATGACAAAGAGGGTACCAAATCCGCCAATGTAATCTAGTAGTTAAATAAATAATTGGCTATTACCCAATCGTCTCCCCTTGCGTACGTCACAAACAGTCTTTCCGAGTCGAGATGATTGCGAGAAAATTACTCGCTCGTAAAATGAATTGGCCGATGTCTTCATTTGGAGGAATCTATTTATAACTGAGCGGACGAGACAATGTGTGTCCACTTAATACACGTATTGATTTTCTCCGCTTTTATCATGTCCTATCAAATACGGATTCACTTAGGGTGAGATCTATAGTGCGCACTTAGACTTTGCTCTGACTTAACTATCGAGCTAAGACACAGTCGGTATTTATAGAGCAAACTACGAATCTCTCCCTAGTGTTGGCTTAGCTTAATCTCAAGTCCACGAAATCGACGACTTACCAAAAACTTTGACTATAAGCCTAACAAAAATAATGGCCCAAAATTTGCTTTACCATCATATCTTTTACTGGACTTTTTATTTTTGTCGGTTTTTAATGAACGGTGTTGCCATTTTGTATCGGAGTTCCATAGACTTTGGGAAAAATAGAATTTGAATTCAAAGAAATTATAAATGATCTTGATAAATACCTATGAAATGCATGAAATAAAATAATTACACATTATTATGGTATTTATTGTTGTTTATTTATATTATTTATGTAATTGTTCAAACCCCATTTTTGAGAAATCTTAAAAATAACTGGTGTGATTTTGTATGTCACCTGGCAGCCCTGGCAATTGGCATATTATAGTGACAACGAAATTCAAACTATAACCTAACCAAAACATTGCGATCCGTTCTACGTAATAAAATTATTGTCATCTTTAAATAATTAATACATTTTCTAAAGGTTACTCGTGAATTTCTAGTTATTGCAATAATAAAATAAATGAATACATAAATAACAATAAATTGAAGATATATGTGTACCGTTTTAGATTTTTAAATATTTGTTATTGTTAACTTTTTTAAAGGATAATAAACAAAGTATTGCATGAAATGAAACATCAATTTGTATTTTGACATTTTCTGTCTTAGCTTGGGCTTAGCTTAATCTCACCGTTAAAATGTCTATAAATACGAAATCATAGTTTAACCTTAGTGTACACTAAGCAAAGTTTTTCGTAAGGTAAGTCTGAGCAAAGTCCAAGTGCGCACTATAGATCTCACCCTTAGGTCTAAATATGGACAATACTCCTGTAGGTGTGAATGAAAACAAACCCAGGCTGGATTCAAGTTTTTATAAACTTAATTTGACACGAGCTACATTAGAAATACATTATTTTGTCTATACTAATTTGATAAAAAAAACGATTTATTTTCGTGACGTTTTAATATTTTAAATTGAATATGGAATGAATAAACTCAAAGACTACTAAACCGATTACAAAATGTTTTTGACCATTAAAATGTTGTCCTATCCTTGAGTAACATAGACAATAATATTTTTTTTAAATCATACTTGGACAGGCTAGTAGTAGAAAACAAAGAGAATTGTAAATTATAATTATGAAGTATGTTAATAAAAAGTTATTTTATATTCCTCGTTTCGGAGGCTGCGAGACATTTTAGGTCGCAGAGTGAGTGACGGACCTCATAAATAAAGATTTGAATCGCTATTTATGTACACAGAGCTTTTAAATCGCTTTCAATCATAATTAAATCGTATTAATACATAATTAAACAATTTAATTTGGTAAAACGTTTCACGGATGGTTCTTAGTGTTGACGAAAAGCAATTAAGAAGAGTTTCATAAATAAATTATCATGTTTGCGTTAAGGTGTGAAGTGGTTGTAAATAGAATAAGTGTTTTAGCTGTGTAAATAATACTTACATTGACATATTGTTAGATTAATACGTAATATTATATATTTGGATGAACGCGCTACCATTATGGAGGCAGGTTTTGAGCCATATTACTTCTTGCTACGACCAAATTAACGCTACCCAAATAAATGAATAATGTAGCCATTTTTATTTATTCATTATTTTTATATATAAAAAATATGCATGAGCGTAATAGTCATTTCAATAGTTGATCGATAAATATAAATATTTTGGTTCAAGCTTTTACCGCCAACAGAAATACATTAACAGAAGAATAATTAATGTATCTGAGGTATGAGATCTGCAACTCTTTAAGCGAAAAACGGATTGTAATAAACGATCGTGGGCCTTTTAGTATGTAAGCTACTTATGGCACTTAACATAAGATCCGTTTGTCCGTTTCTAAAAGTAAACAGTGTTATTTTTCTCGAAAAATTTCCATAGAGCACAATGCGATACTATAAAGCCGACTGCGTCCCAAATCATACGATTAACGTAGAAGCCTTTGCAATGTTAATACACTAATAAAGAATCATTATAAAGGATATAAATAAGTCTAAGGACCCATTTCCATCGTTATGGAATATATAATGTAATCATAATATTGCCTTTTGTTTGTACGAGTATTAGACATTTAAATAAATATATAATTTAATACATTATTGACATAATATAGTATTTTTTTAGAAATAAAATCAAAATAAGTTCATTCGTCAAATAAAAGTAAATATTAATCAAAATGTGTTGATAGAGGAAATATAGTTTAATTTATAGTAGATTAAAATTCTACCGTACACTACAATGATATTCTTTAAAAGTTCATCAGAGACCCATTTGAAAAACTTCTATGTTCGCGTCGCAAGCGCCGCAATTGATTACTATAGATTATTTGTTTTTATTCATCCAAGAGATAACTTATATTAGCGTCTTATTACAGCTTCCTTAAATTAGTCTTTAATTATAGGAGACGTACATTTTGTAACTGAGTCGCACCGTTCTTTAAATATTTATTTGTAAAAATTATTGACAGATAGATGAATCTGAGTCCCAGCTTCCATTAATAAAATCGAGAGGCAGTCTGCGTAGAAATTAAATGAAAAATAGCCAATTTTCCAACAAAAGCTTCTCTTGAAAAAACTTTTCAATGTAAGACAGTTATTGAAATGAAATCATTAGTAATTTTATCGTTGTATTTTTAACTTTTGTCTGCCATAAAATCTCATAATAGTAGTGACATCTTAAATTGCAGTGATCACTTTTGGCGGAATAAGGAAGACTTTTTCGTAACTTAATAAGCCGATCGATAAAGACGATGTATGAAACAACTTGATAACACAAAAATAATATATTTACGCATATATTTTGCTTATTCAAGTGTTTAGCTGACGTGCCAGCTTTACCAATAATGGCGCTATTATAGTTTTTGATTGATTTATTTAACTGTCAATAAAAATATGAAAAAAATATTTTTTTTTAGATTTTATGAAAACTTGCTTGATTATATTGTGCGTAACTTCTTTTTTTAATCATGTTAATAGAAACTCGTTTCAATTTCAAAACTATCTAAGTACTTATAACTTTTACAAGATAATTGCGTATTCGAATATGTTATAACAATAAAACAAATACACAAAAAACTATGCGATAATATTTTTTATCATAATTATTGTTTACAAACTATTTCACCTTAATTAGTAATCACATACAAAAACATTGTATTATATAAGATCTACAAGTACCCACGTTGAGTGTAGCTTTGTAAAGGAATTAAAAGTTAATATAGCGTACATACCAGAACTTCATGGTGCGTGCGATTGCCTCTATAGACCCACTGGACGTTGACTGCCGGCATCAGGGGCTCACTACCACAGGGAATGGTCACATTTTCCGTACCCTTGTCTGTTGCCACTTGCCTTATTTCCACTTCGTCACCCAACACTCGTCCAAATACTGCATTAAAATACCAACATTAACAACAAAGGCCAAATAGTATTACAATCATTTAATTTAAATAAATTTACCTTCTATTCCAAGGCAGATCACAGGCACCAATAAATGTTCTAGCAACATCCTACTATTTCTACATTTAAACTCTAGGAAAAATTCACTAACTCTACCTAAATGTAAAGTAAAAAGAATTTTTCAAACTAGTTTATTTACATTAGACCGTTTTTTTGATGACGGCAGGCGAAATAATAGGAAATCAATTTCACAACATACGTCTTCACTCCATCGATAAAATTCATTGACTAAAACACAGATTAGGATAACTTAAAATTTAGAATGTCAGCTGTCTTTAGGAGTAAAGCGTGAAGTTGACATTTACAGCAACCGTATTTATTAAAAGACATTGCCGTCAGAAAAAATATTACTATGATTTATTATAGTTTCAGTTATTTATTTTATAAATTTCATAATAGGAAGCTAGTCTAAAAACAAAATACAGAATTCTTTAAATGAATTGTGGGTCGAACATAGAAATACGTATTAAATTGGTTTTAGGAGGTAAAAATGGAACGGACTAGCCCTAAAAATGGTAAAATCACAGCTCGAAATAGCAACATTACAAATCTGTCAAAAATATTGTCTCTAATATTCCGACAGCGGACCGTTCATTGTCATAGAGAAGAATATAGATTTTGTTCGGACATGGCCGCGGTTTCGGCGATACAACACTTGCAATGTTTTGTATATTCATATTCATTTTTTATAATGAATAAGGTATTTTATACTAACAAGTAGTGTTTAGTTATTTGTGTATAGTGCTGTGATATTTGTAATGGATGCAGAGAGCGGATATGAATTTAAAAGTGATGCAATTCAGATGATTGAGACCATTCAGTCAATGATAGACGTTTCGGCTGATAGACTGGAAGGATTGAGGACACAATGCTCGACCAGCGCAGAACTGACGCAGCAGGAGATCCGGACTCTGGAGGTATGACACTGTCAGTGCGTTAAGTGATTAAAAACATTTACTGTCCTTGAAACATCGCTAGGTCTATTCAAGGCCCTGGCGGTTGGCTCAAGGATTGTTTCAATGCCGCTAGTAGAAAGTGTAAGCGTGCGCATTCCCAGTCGCCTTGAAATTATCTATTCTATTTCGACGTGACTTTGAAGCCATACAAAAGTTGAAAAATGTCCAAAAAATATGCTACTAATTGCCAATCAAACATATTGTTTCTGTTATTACTTCTATTATAGTGACAAGGGAATTTATTTTTTATATTTGTTTTTTTATGTTTAAAACATTTCTGGATTTATCTATAGAAAAGATAGAAATAAAACAATACACATTAGCAATTCAATATATTTGTCTCACTTTTAAGGCCACAATAGCTTCTAAGCCTTAAATGGTATGTTATAGGTATCAATGACAAATACTTTTACATAAATTTAAAAAGTAGAATGACTAATTCATTCATTGTTTCATTTAAATATGTAATCTACTTTTTTATCATGACTTTTTATGTGACTTTAACACCTTTAATTAATTCATTCAGTTAATCAGATGTAATACCATGGATATTGACTTTTTATAAAATATATGTAGCCGTTTCCTGTTAATAGAATTAATTTTTATAGCCTTATATTTGTTTACTGTGTATATTTTAATAATATATGATTTCTAATTTAGTAGAAGTAACTGATTGAATGTCTAAATAAAGTTTAATTTGTACAAAGAAAATCTGAAGCTAGCTAAGGAATGTTCTTAGAAGATATAAGTCGAATGAAAAGTATTGACATACATATATGACCTAAATTATATACTTTTATAGACCTTGCTTTTCGTGTGAGTATCACATTTAATTAGTTCACAAAGAAATCTTAAGCTTTCTCAGCATTTTGGCTGCAGGTATTTTTTTTTTCTGAAATTTATACGTACATACCTTTTATTACTTAAAACATATAGTAATTTTTGGCCTGTTCTATCTGTAAAGAATGAGAAAAGATGAGTAATATTTTAAATGGACTTTACTTAAGTTAACTGATAATTAATAACATTATTTACGTAACTCAAAGTTTCAAGTGCTACACTTTAAGTAAATAAAATCAATGAAATGATCAAAATTGTGTGATAAAAAAAATTTAATATAAGGGGATATATTAAACATAATTATTACTAATTCTAATAGAGAGCCTTCAAAGGCTAAGTAACTGGTAACTCTTTAAATATTGACTTAATAATATTTCTTTAATAGTGTGGCAATTAGTTGTATCATAGACAATATTATATCAAGATTAATAATAAGTTTTATGCATTATACAGACCTTTCTATTATTTATTTGCATATTAATGATGTTGTTATAGTTTGTCACATTAATATAATATGATGTTATTCAGTGTGCCTCTTGGTATAGACCATTTCTAGAATCGTCCATTTATCTCTTGTCACATGCTACCCTTCTTCAGTGATACCTTGTTGTGTGTGGGTGCTGTTGCACTTTCTATCTTTGGTGCACTCATATTAATAAAAAGCAGTTAAATAATCTTCATAATAATAGGTTTAAAAGTGTAGAAGCCTATTATTTCAAGTCAATGCACTAGGTCAGTTGTTAAGTAGGCAATGTAGAACAACTCATACTATGTGAAAAGCAGTATAATTAGATTATCGTCACACATACATAGTCATAGCTCTAATTTACACAAGCAACTAATTATACTTCCACCTACGGAGTTTTGAAAAGATTTCTTTGCGTATGAGATTAATCCAATATAATTAGATTTATTAGACATACTAAGTAAATTAATTATGAAATAAATAACCAATTTCATACTATAGACACAATAACAAATATATGTATTAAGTTATGGAAATTAGACAAATGCCTTTAAATGATATCCTAGCTTGCCACTAGCCAATAATTCTGCATACTATATCGCAACCTGATTTATTTACCGATTCAAATATTTGTTTTAAGACAAGTGTTTACAAATACGTGTATTTTAATAGCTGTAATAAAACAATTAGTAATGACTCAATAAACACGTCTTGGCTATTTCTGCGACTACGCTAATGATGCATGCTCACTTTCACTAGAATGCATTTTCACATTTTAAAAGTTTCGTTTCCTTTATTATTTTAAACAGGGGTTTTAATGCTCGTTTATTTTCGGATAGTAAAAATTATTAACATTGATATTTCTATATTAATTTTCAAAACAAAAATGTAATGCTTTTGAAAATTGTCAGTGAGCTGACTGAGGGTATCATATTTCAAATTTAAAAAATCGCGGTAAAATCCTTAGTTCTCACGTTGTCGACTTTTTAGGATTAGACATATTTGACAGCGCTCAAGATGAGATTGTGGCTTGAGATACGAATTGGAATATGGACATTTTGGATTATCATGGATGGATATTTTATCTTTATTACTTATAGGCATGGCAGAAAAAATCATGCTGATTCTGACTTGAATGCTAGGTTAAAAATCGCATAAGTCTTGCATACGACAGCTTAAAGACCTTACTATATAAAAATATGTGTACATACACATACCGTACAAGCCGTATTAACTCGAAATTTCAGCCGCATCACCTTGACAGCTGGAAGTTTTCGGTCCGCTTCACAGGTAATTTTTCTTTTTCGAACTGTGGAATGGACTGTAGGAGTTTTCCATGGGAGATACGACCTCCAATCGTTTAAAGAGCATACTCCTCCCACATAGGCGAACGCGCCCACTAACAAGAGTATCTAATTGTCTATGGGCTGCAACGACTACCCCTTTTGGGCGTCCTGTAGGATCGTTTGTCCCCATGCTTTAAAAACATACTTAGGTGTGATTTACAGAAAATAAGTTAGAGAATACTTTTAATGTAAGATTCAGAAACTTATCGCTAAGTTTGACTCTTGTACGTCAGAAATCCATTGGATTTTGACATTCGATAGTTCGCTTTAAATGTCGTTTTTGAATGTAATTTTTTTTTCCTAAATTAGACAGTAATGTAATGGATTAATTGAATTTTTTCAGGGTAAACTAGTGAAGCACTTTTCCCGACAATTGGTGATAAAAGCTAATTTCGGTGAAGAGTTGCAGGGGGAACTTCGTGATGTGCCCAGTTTGAGGCAGTGGCTTCGAGTTGTAGGCTTAAGCGTGGATGCTATTGAGGTAATCATTTTACTATCACTTCCATAATTAGAAGACGTCTTATCTGCATGCCTAATAGTCTAGTTCTAATTAATTTGCGATATATGTTTTAAAATAAGTGTTGTTTGATGATTTGCTATTTTAAAATAGTACCGAGAGTTTTTTACGCCGGCTTTTTCTCTCGGCCTACACCCTCTGTATTCTTTGTCGATGAGTAGGGATGCCAGCAGTTTCAAATTTAATGACGTGAAATAAGTGATACCTGTATCTTATGTTCCATAATAAACATATTTTATTTATTTTAATGGTAAATTGCGTGGTGCTTTTAATATTAAATTTCTCCTCTTGCATATATAAAATGCTCGGAATCCGTTTCTCAGTGACGTTATCTAATTTTTTTATCGAGTTTCTTTAAATTTATATGCTATAAATAAATATAGATTATAAATCGTGAGGCAAAATGCTGACATGAAAATTAGCAAAAAAGCAATATTGTACAAACTGAGTCACGTACTTCCGTAGTATTTGTATGCGGCGCGTTTTAATGCGGTTATTATACGAAAGCACGTATAAAAATTTATTTAATTTCAGATAATGAATGATGTCAGAAAATTGGTTTTAAAATGTATTTTTAATTTTTTTGCTATGTTAAATTATTAATAGTTCAAGAATATTAATTACGGGGTTGAGAGTTTTGCCTTATTATAAAACGTAGACCAAAAATAGGCCCATGTTTGTTACCATGGTTACAATTTTTATAAAGAATAAAATTACCGAGGTCGAAACAGTTTTTAAAATTTCGTAGAATATATTCTAAATAGACACTTGTGAAAGCATTGGCCTTTTCAAATAGTTTTTTTTTAATCTGCTCACCCAATTCTATATAAGATACCAGTCGTTATTGTTACAAATAACTTATTTTTAACACACTCTTTTCTTAAAATATTTATTACCCAATAATTCTTTTTTATATTATACCTTGTTCTTGTTAGAGAGATTAAGAAGAAGTGATGCTTAAGGGAAGAAAGGAAATAACAACTCCCCCCTCCCCTAACCCTCGTATAGATAAGAATGATTAATAAAAAATAATGTTTTACAGGCAGTATGTTCGCGCGTATCGTCGCTTGAAGCCCTACGTGATAGGTCAGAACATGAATTGCGGGCGATTTTGTGCGGTGCTAGAGATGAGGAAGTTCGCCGTTTGGGGCGGGCAATGCAAAGGCTGCGAAGTTATACAGGTTTGTTAATATGTATAAAAAAATATTTCAATTAAAACAAAAATATTTAGTAAATAAATATGTACATAGTTGAAGACTACGATTTCGCCTAAACATTATTTGATTTTTGATGTTTCTAAAGAAACAAACATTAATACTAAAAATATTTATAATAACGTAAAAATTTATAAAGTGGTTCTATAGGCATCATTTTTCTGTTAACACTTAAATAATGTGCCTTTGGAAGACTTACTTTTAGGAAAACCAATTATTTTAAAAAGCACATTATTATTCTCATCATTGATTCATTATTATTGTAGGTTTTGAGTCTTCTGTGTCTCTTTTTAATAGGCAAGCCAGTGATCAGTTTTCTGTGCCTGACACGCTGAGGTCTTGTTCTAAGGCATACCGATTTCCGTGCGATAGCAAATAGTGTTGAATTGCGAACAAATAAAGTAAAGTCTATTAGCCGTGATTAGAACCATGACTTCAGGGTTGTCGCACGCTCAAACCACTAAGCCCACACTGTTAGTTGTTGTTTATTTGTTCAGTGATAACAATATTATATTATTTATCCATATAGGTAACATAATATAAATAATGTATAGATGAAAGACCGAAAAAAATTCTTTATATTGCCAGTTCTCAGATCAAAGGCGTAGAACGGAGAACAATTGCCAATAAACTCTCCGTCACTCTTAAATGGCCAAGCTCTTTGTTCACCAAATGACTATGAAGAGCTACAATCACACGGCACACTACTATTTTTAATAATATACATAATTGATTTCAGAGGCCTTAGCACGTGGCGATGGTGGTGTAGACTTACCCTTATACTGGGACAGTTGGGAACAGAGACATGGAAGAGGGTCGCCACGAGCAAGAGAAGACCGTAATCACAAGAAGAACGCTAAAATACAAGGGAACGGTAAGGGAAACACTCATTCGTTATTCTCTGGCTAATAAAGTACTCTTTTGTCTCTTTCTGTCAAATTGTGATGAAAAGGATAGGTGATATTGTAGTTACTGCAGTTATCTTCCTAATTGGCGTGGCGCATATAGTGATTCGTAATTTTATTGCCAATTTACGTAGAAGTCAATTTGTTGATGGAGGTAACTTTATAAATTAATCAAGAAATAATGCTTTTCACGTGTAATGAAATTTCACGGACAACTTTAAACATGAATGTTTTGGAAGATTTTTTAAATTGATCCTTCGTAATGAAAAGCTGCGCCTGAGTTGGCACTGAGTGAAGTTTGAGGTACATAACACTTATAAAAATAATTTATGTATTACTTGAAATTAAATTCCTCTTTCGTTTAGCGCTGGTACTTTTATACCCATAGTTAGTGTGTCATGAAAATCTTTTTTTCGTACTACTACATGTAAATTTTATATTTATAACGAATAAATTAAAAAACTTCTTCAAACATAACACCATTCAACCATTGTGAGTAACATAGACTAAATATATATTTCCAAAATGTTTAAAGAAATGTCCAACCGCGCGAAGCCGGGTCGGATTGTAAAATTTACTCCCGTTGTAGCCAGGATATTGGACAAGATAGGTTTTACTTGCAGTTAATGATAAATATATCATCGCTGTAGAATGATAACATCGTATGTCCAGAGAACCAAACATTACAGGAAACGGATTTCTTTTTAATTTCGTCAATGTTCGTTAAAATATTATTACGTGTTTTTGTCCATAGTTTTGGATGGTAAAAAGGACTTATTTATTAATAACATAAATAAGTTCATGATTATACCAGTTAAATGACATAAGAGTCTAAGGGTCTGTTTCACAATGTACAATGAATTCTAAAAATCAAATGGTTTTTTACATATTGGTAGGATAAACTCTATTGTTTGCAGTGTACGACTATTCAGATTTGTCTTAGTGTCGCATAAAGTCCATCACACGTTAACTCCGATGAATGGCAAATAGCGCAAGCAGAATATCTTCCAAATAATTTATCGGCTTAGCCATGTGGTACTCCTAACCATAAATCGTGATACAGACCCTAAGAATCGAAATCTCTGGGTTTTTAACATGATGCCTCAGACTACAGGTGACGATATGTCATATTGTCTTAAATGTAAATCATGTAAACCCCAGTATAAAGGAATGTCCTACCGGTGACTTATGCACGCTAAAATTCGCTTTTACACGAATATCACCTCTATGTAGACCTTATGGCCTAAGCACGGTAAATATGTCATGTGTCAAATGTCATAAGGTAGCACTCCGGTGTGAAGTGAGGTCTCGAGACTTAGCGCGCCGGCTTAGTAATAACAATTAGTTGTGTAAAACATTAAATTAATGTAATTTTATCATTTTTTTTTCTGAAATGGATTACTTAATTTCAAAATCATGTTCTATATACATTTTCGTCATAAAATGAATTCATAGTGTCAAAAATTAGCTATGTTTGGATTTTTTTTCTATCAAGCGAAGTTATTGAAATCGTGTATCGATCTTTCAAACTGGATACATAAACTACTCAACTCCACCATATATTTTTTCCATTCGCCCTACTTCAAGAAACGATGACGAAAAATAGGTTCTTACGTGCTAAAGTTTCTCGTAGATCAAATCTAGGGCCGCTAGTTAATCGGCACTGTTTAGTTATGAGGCTAATTGATTGAACGGCTAATTGAGCTAGTTGGCTGCGATATATATATCAGAGATTATGTTATAAAAGAACACGATGACATTTGTTTTATTAGAATGGCAACACCACGCAATATCATAGACATCTTACAGATTGTAAAATGTCAATGTCAATTTGTCAGTATTGCGTAGAATCAATCGTTAAGTACTTGAGTAGAGTTGCTCTCTGATCGGCTGATCGCCGGACGTGCGCACTGACTGTGTTTAAATATTGAGTAATAATGTCGGACGACGGTAGTGACACCAATCTTGCAAGTATTAATCGCGTTCAATCTGCCACATCTATATTATATTCAAGGTAGTAAAATATTCTTTTAATTTCCAGCGACAACAGTCAGTCATCAGCAGTTGGCAACACCGAAGGCTCTCCCCCGGCCTCACCGAGGGAACCAGAAATCGAATACACACAGAGAAATAATAACACGCACCATAACCATGTAAGTGATCATTAAAAGTTGTTCAAAGATCAGAAGAATTTGCGTATTGTAAGTCTTAAATACGCAAATTCTAAAAGACTAAATCTTTCGTCTAGTATATAAAACAAAGTCGTGTTTGTTACACCACTTATAACTCAAGATCGGCTGGACCAATGTTAGTAATCCCTTTTTTGGTGGATTCTTCTCCACTCCGAATAGCAGAATAAGTAATGAAATATCAGATGTTTGAGCATGTTTGTTGCAACATTACGTAGAAACCTGCCACTCTGCCGGATAACAAAACAAAAAATGTTATATATCAGAAAGTGCTTTAATATGCAGTATCGCAATATTGGCGCTAGAGAGAAGAAGCCTAATGTGTAAAACTCCATTCTTCTTTCACAATGGCAACAATAAAACATTTCTGTATTTGCAAAAAAAGTTGTATTAATGATTTAATAAACCTAAATTAAGTTTAACTTAATTAAACGATATTATTAGACGTTAGGGGAACGAAGTCCGTCCTAAATACAATACAATCTTTTTACTAATTTTGGTTTTTTTTTACAGAAACATTTGTATCGTTGATATTAACTTCGTCACGTGACCTTTCAACAGAAAAATCTACTTAGCAATTTTTCTACAGTTGCTAGTTATGACAACACTGACAGTTGTGGGCTATTCTAAAACCTTCCAAATCTTATTCCAGGGAAGTCCCAATGTGGGAATGGGCGGTCCCCGATCACCCCGCGTGGGAAACACAGCCCCCATGGGCCCTGTCAGCGTGGGCGGCTGCATGGCCCACGATATAGCCCACCGCTTCACTAAGACTTTCAATATGATAGCGACGTGCGATTTCTGCGATAAGCAGATGCTATTCGGATCCGGTCTCAAGTGCAAGGAGTGCAAGTTTAAGTGTCATAGGTTTGTGGACTCCTTTTTTTTTTAATTACCAAGGGTATTGTTGGCCTAGTGTTTCATTAAAAAGTTTCATGAAAACCGTTAAATTTTTTAATATCCAAGAATTCTGGACATATTTTTTTATAGGTGGAAATGCCTTTACGCATCCCCTGTTTAGCAGTAGGTTGGCTTTTATTTTAGAATACCACCTATGAACACTCGCAATGTCACGGGGCTCGCGAGTACGTTGCCGGCTTTTAAAGAATTGGTACTTTTTGAAGGACCCTAAGTCGTAAGTTTGGAAATACTTCGGTGGGCAGCTTCAAAGTGGGCAAAATCATTCAGTTGTGGAACGACGGATGTCGAGGTGATAAGGGTGAAATTTCTGCCTCGACGTCCGATGATGAAACTCAGCTGCAGGACTCGACCCAGACCAGAATCTTCTCTCTAAAACCTTCAACAAGACAGCGTTAGAGAGACTCCGGGCTGTATTAGAACGTCTGTTTAATACTTCGAAATTCCGTTTATTTTACCGAAATTTTGCAGAGACTGTGAGAGCAAAGTGCCGCCATCTTGCGGGCTGCCGCAGGCTTTTGTGAACGCTTTCAAGGAGAAGTTTCACAAAGACGGTAAGAAGTACAGGTTATTTAAAGGTAAATACTTTGACATCTTAATATCGGTGGTGTTGTACCTTACAGATAATGTCATCCGCAAATAAACTATTAATTATCTATTAGCCTATGTTATTAAAAAAATAATCAGTGGCGCTACAACTTTTTTAGGTCTGGGCTTCAGATTTCTGTAGCTGTTTCATAATCTTTTGTCAATCTAATAGGCAAGTGTAGCCGTCGACTTTTTGGGTCTAAGGCAAGCCAGCTTCCACACAATGTTTTCCTTCAACGTTAGAGCGAATGTTAAATGCGGCCTATATTATTAGTATACATTAATTTAGTTTAGTCTGCTTTACGCTTATTTATATATTTTATCAAAATTTTCTTAAATCTTACGATTTTTTTGGCAGTCAAAAAATCACAGGAAATGGAACCCAGGACTTCGGATAATATGTTATATGTTTGTTGTTTGAAATACAGATTTCAGTAGATAAACATCACTTGACAATTAAAATATTGTTAGTTAATAAATAGCCCTTTGTGGATGGCATTAACTGTATTTGGTTAGAGCTGGGTATTTTTTGATGTCTTGATGTCCAAATACATAAAAAAAAATCATTGGTTAAATAGATTAACTCGAAATTTTTTTGTTGCATGTCGGGTACCAATAATGTTAATACTACAATATTATCATAGGTGTGGTATTAGATTTAGTAACGAGACTTACCGCTATTTGTCAGAGTCCCGTACGTCAAAATTGTATTGGATTTTGACATTCGGAAGTTTTAGTTTCGTTTCTAAAAGTTATCCTAAAAGCCACCAAACTAAATAAACTACTTTCAACGTTACAAGGTAGTGTCAAAATTTTTAGGATTTTCGTTTGTGAAGAGGGTTATTTTACTTTCTGTCCTCCGCGATATACGATATAAAATGTGTTATTTCATCTAATCAGAGCCATAATAGTGTGATAAAAGCCAAAAGGCTGATTGTAGATGGGTGAAAAAATTCTTATAAATAAACCTTGATCTCATATATTTCATTTTACAATTATATGTTTTACGATGTACGCAGGGATTTACAATTTTGTGCCCTAAAATGTAATTTAAAATATTATTATAAACCTTGAAACTTGGGTGATTGTCGATGTTTCAGAACGATCGCGTTTATTTGGTGAATTTAAGTGATTTTTCTTTAAATATTAATATCTCCTACTATAAATTTGTACCCGAAATTCCGCGTCACCAAGTTTCCCACTGCGCTAAATCCTCTTAACTTACGTGTCGAAACCACCCGTAAATACAGACACACGTAGAATTTCTACACTTCGTTATAAATTGACTCCTAAATTTGATTGACTGTGTATTTGGACAATTTAACCCCATAACGCATGGCTAAGAAAATATTTCATTGAGCTATTTCTTATGCATGTGTGGAAGATGTTTTTGTTTATCATTTGGATATTACAGATACGCCTAGTGCAGTGTTTCCCACACCCTACAGGGGGCAATTTGATTGTTAAAGAGCGCAATCGAAATCAGCTGGACACAACGTGGAGAGTTGACTGAAGCTATCCAAATTGGAACCCAATATAAGATTTCTGTGCAGAAAGCATCAATATCTCAATAAATTAATCAAGAAAAATCTTTATTATACAATTTCTTTAACAATTAAATGTTTTAATATATAATTATATATGTATGTACATTGCATAAGAATTGTACGCAGGCTAGGGTGGGGCATGGCAGAAAAATGGTTGGGAAACACTGGCCTAGTGTATTCATTTGCTTTCCCTTATGGTAGTATTTCTTAAATTATGCGTTTAATGAGGTTAGCGTAAAATATTCAACTTCTTGAATTCCTAGACCAAAATCGGAATAACCCACTCAATGTTTCCATATAAACGTGATTATTACTATTTTACGTATTATTGTTAAGGGTTCAATGCCCTTATAAGATATTTAACTTACTATAGTCGACGCATTTTAAACTGAGTCATCGGGCACATATAAATGCCACTGACAGTAGGAATGTGGAATGCAACCCGTTATCGATACGTAGCTACTTGCGCACTCTTACTCCTGATTGGTAGTTACGGGTTATTGTTTTTCTAAAAAATATAAGATTTTTGTTATGACACTCATTACTTTGCTTACGCTTCGTTACGTAATGAGGAATAGAGAATTTATTTTCTAAGGGGCGGTTCAAGTTCAATAACGTGGTTTTGATGAAAATTATTTTCAGTTAGCGAAAAATTTCCTATTAATACTTAACATAATTTAGCATATCTGTATTACAGTACCTAGTCCGTTATTTATATGCACCCCTACAAATTTGATTTTAAGCGATAAATCAGCTGACACCTCTCCATAAAAGACTGTAAGTCCGAGCGAGACAGACAGATCCAAATATGATTTATGAGCACGAAACCGCAGTTCAAAATGCGTCGACTAAAGTTTTCAAAAATATATATTATCTAAAAAATTTAAGTTTTAATTCACAGTAGAGTCTTTGCGGGAATTGTGATATAAAATATGTATGTTAGTCTTCAACCTTATAATTTTAGAAGGCATACGTCTTTTGGCGCATTACGGAAAAATGGTGAGTGTAAATTTGCACGAGCGCGCTCATATGCCGTCACATATAGCCGTATTCACCCTTAAGTTATGCTATAGTTAACATTACATTTTCGTGAAATATTTAAATAAACTTTATTTCTAGACAAATCGGTATAACAAAGCCTTAAATGTTTCAAATAACGTGTTATTACTATTGTACGTATTATTGTTTTTCGTTCTAACGCCCTTAATAAGATATTTGAAAAGAGTTTTACTATATTCGCCACAGAAGTTTAAATTCTGACGTCGGGCACATATAATGCCAGATTTTTTTAAACAAAATCTGGAATGCAATTAAAGCATTTTTATTTCGCCAGGTGGTTACTACATTCCGTCTCCGAGTGCGGGTCGTGGCGTTGTGACGTCAGTGACGCCCACAAGACGAGCGCGGCCGCCTGCCCAGCATCATCACTCGGTAATATCACATAATCGTAATTCGTAATATTTTTTGGTAATTGGTAATGGTTCAATATTTTCGCTCAGAATTTTCGTGAATATAGCTACATCTTAATCTTATAATTTGGATAATGCCTTCCTTTAAATTAGTTTTTTGGATAACTAAGTATTTATTTATTTTATTTTATTTATTTTATATCACTTATATATACTTAGTACGTCTCCGGATTTTTACATATGCAACATGTATTGTTGCTATAAATTTAAAAATCTTTAAATGAAATATATTTTTTATTCTATTAGAGATCCGACATTTCTAACTTCAGTGGTTGCGATTAGTGTTTTTGTTATTATCTAAACTGAGGCGGATATTTTAAATCAATATTTGTTTCGTTATTGTCTTGTAAGCAAAGCAAATGGGGGATTTTTAAGATGTTATAGGAACACTGAAGAGCAGTGTTGGCCTAGTGCCTTTAGCGTGGGGATCTCATCCCTGAGGTCGTAGGTTCGATCCCCGGACTTTCTTTCTATGTGCGCATTTAAGATTCGCTCGAACGGTGAAGCAAGACATCGCAAAGAAACCGGCTTGCTTTAGACCCAAAAAGATAACGGCGTGCGTCAGGCACAGAAGGCTGATCACCTACTCAATCCTTGATTAACAAATTATCATGAACAGATATAGAAATTTGAGACCGAAAAAGGTTGTAGCGCCATTGACTTTTTTATAGGAACACTGAACCTAGGATTAAATTTAACCTAAAAAATTTTTTCACAGGGTAATCCAGACTCTTCGTCGACAACTTCTTCGTGCAATAGTTCCACCCCGTCCTCCCCCGCCCTCGCCCCTGCACCCCCCACCCCGCAGAGCCATCATCATTATCAGCTCAATGCGGGTCGGAGGTTTCACTTTCCCGGTAAGAATATGTTTTAGTAGACCGAACAGAATAAATAATAAGAATAGTAGAATTCAAATGTAATGAAAACTTGTGAAAACATAATAAATTATATTTTTTGTTACTTTATATACTTCTTTGTTCCTTATATGTACTTACAATAGAAAGAATTAGAAAGGTTAAGGTACTATTTCATTTTCATAACTGAATTTGATTCACATATGATCTAAGTCGATAATTGGTTTATTCACTTATGCAGGTTACATCACTTTTAAGCTAAACCTAACAGGTGTTAAATGTGATCTGTTAAAGTCTTGTATGTTCTGTAGAGAAAAAACAAATACTAGTATGGAAAAACATTGATGACGACTCATTGGTCTAGTGGTTACTACTGCGAATCCATGGGTCCCGGGTTCGAACCCCGGCTGAGGCGAACATCGATGTGATGAGCATTTGGTGTTGTGCTTAGGTCTTGGGTGTTTAAATATGTATTTATATGTCTATCTATCTATAATATGTATGTACCCTATATCCGTTGCCTAGTACCCATAACACAAGCTTCACCAGCTTAGCATAGGACTCGGTCAATTGGTGTGAATTGTCTTTTAAAAAAAACAAACATTGATACATATTTGTATCTTATCCACAGATAGAGCTCAAACTTTATCCTAAATTATATATACTATAATAAAAATTTAAACAAAAAGGTAAAATTGTAAAAAGTTTGTATTACAATTCTTATTTATAACTAACATTTGACTACTTTGTTAAACATATGTTTTAGAATGATAATTTAAAAGCTAACAATTGTGTATAGAGGGGCCTCATAGCCTAGCGGTCTTATTAAGTGGCAGCTAGATGAGGGGTACCGGGTTCGATTCCCGGTTCGAGGGCAAGTTTTAATTTAATTTAAATTTGTTCTCGGCCTTTGGGAGGGTTGTGGGGTACCGGGTGAGGGCTTTAACCGTACATGGAGGACATGGTCGAATTTCTAAGGCAAAAAGCACGAATTATAAAAATCTTATACTGGACGCTGGCTAATGCACAAACCGTGCCAGAGCCATAAAGGAAAAAAAAATTGTGTATAGGGTTTCTTTTTACTTACCTGTCAATTTTGATTGTTCAAACGTGATAAGAATCCCTATAATATGTCTCAAAATGTATATAGGATAAAAATATCCCTTTGATGCAGATGTTAAACCAGCGATTTCAAGTCCAAACCACACGTCAGCCGTCCAGTCTCCCGCGAGGACCACGCCCGATACTAAACAGGACCTTACAGCTAGTATAAGAAGTGGTAAGTGCATGGAAATTAAATATGTTAGAATATTAATATGTGTAATTATTTAACTAAATTACTAAGATCTAGTTTCGCCAAGTATACCAATATCATACAGTTTTGTGTTTTAAGTTCAAATAATATATATTCAATCAAATGTGTAGTACTCGCGTGAACTTAAAACTAAAAGTTGAATAAATAAGAATAATCTCTATAGCGGTATTTCATCCGAATTCATCTAATCTGTGCGTAGTGATAGTGAAAATGTTCTTGATAGCTGACAGTTTACATTGACAGGTCACGAATAATATTAGGTCAGCTCATGTCATTTTTATAAATAAATTGTAATATTTATATGTCAATACTGCACAGCGTATGCAAAATAGTCAGTATTTTTTATTAAAAGTGTAAATTAAAGGTAATTGTTAATTTAAATAATTTTGAATTCTCTTAACTTTTGATCTTTGCAACTATTTTGCATACTCTATGACCAATCGGCACAGAGTACGCAAAATAGTTGTTAAGGTTTTGAGTTGAGTTTTATTATTGTTTAGAGGGTTCGGGCCGCGTGTCCCTAAGCGGTTCCGGATCGACTGACAGTAGTGGACCTGGGAGAGATAACTCTGTAGACCTTCCCTCACATGATGACAGATGGCCAAGACAGAATAGTGTAAGTCATGTTTCTTATAATAACTAATTCAGAGCCAGATTTAGATGTCTGGAGGCCTCGAGGCTTCCAAATTAAATGATAAAACAAGGTTGTCGAGTTTTTCCAATTAATAATTTATTGTGAAACCAAGTATATTCTTTTAGTATTTAACATATAAAAATACAATGTAAAGTCTTTATAACGAATTTCAAGGGACCGAGCATTTTTGTTCTTTATAGAGAGTTTTTGTTATAGGGAGGGAGCGAATAGCAAAAAAACTAATTTAACCAATTACAATAATTTCTAATTTTATTACTATCAATAGTTAATTATTCTAAACACATACCTGGCCATCTTGACAGTTTCAAAGTTTGTTTACGACTGATAATACACGATAGGGCAATGTAATCTTTGAATAATGGCACACGTGTTGATGCAATTAACAATAACAAAGGCGAAACGGCTGTTTATGACCTCAGGTGTCATTCTTAGAAATTTCGGCACCGCAAAAGTTTAAAGCTGATTATAAAAACAATTATTGCACTTAAGTATGTTGTTGATGTCTAAATAAGAAAATATTTCTTCGTTATAGAGAATGTATGTTGTATTATAAAGACTGAATCAATGTATGGATTTTATTTTCTTGTGTTATAGAGAGTTTTTGGTATAAAATGTCGTTATAAAGAGTTGACACTGTATATCAATAGAAAAACCCATCTTTTGTAGAAGCCCCGGAGCTTAAACCCCGGTTACCCTCCCTTAAACCGGTCCTGAACTAATTCAAAACAGTCGAGAAATGTCAATTCTGAAATAAAGCGGGAGATGACAGTGATTTATTTATTTACGTAGTTGGTCCACAAAGTTCTGTCACTAGCACATTATTTCTACATTTCGAGCAGGATTTTATAAAAAATTATTGCATTCTATTTTGGAATGTTTGATTATTGTTTTAAAACAAAAAACAATAACTTTCCGTAATTTTTCAGATGGAGTGGACATTGAAAGTAAACCGAAAGTTTTATGTTGACCGTGTGGAACTGCCGAGTACCATTTTCAAGTTGCTCAAAAATTTGAATATAACGCTTAGGTTTGTGTACGGTACTATTGATAGGTACCTTGAAGTCTAGTGTTGAGGACAAGAAAAGAACTGGTGGCAGCTCGCAAGAAACCAGCAGTAATCAAAGCTATAAGGGCGGATAGTAAGAAATCCTGTCCGAAAACAGAAGTTGATGGATTTGAGAGGGTGTAGTAGGAAAACAGTAAAAAAGGTTTTAAATGAAGATCTTGGTCTAGAGCATAAAAAAAGAGTGGGACTTACTTAATGTCGTCTAAAAGAATAAGTTAAGAGATGCGGGTGTTGTTTAAGGGTAGGAAAACCGACACCGTGATATCCTCTTTAGGACGAAAAATTTTTATATTGAAGAGAAGTACAATAAACAGAATTATACATTGTACGTAGGAGTTCTGAAAAGTGAAAATAAAGTTCCAAGGGTGCAAATGGACATCATCCATCATCAGTAATGGTTTGGTTGGGAGTGTCCTATTAGGGCTAATGAGGTTAATTTTTTTCGAAAAGGGGGTCAAAACCAGTGCTGCAGTGTACAAGAGACGGTTTTGTATGCCTTGTCAAAGACATGTAGCACCCTATTTGGGGACATCACTTCGTGTTCAGAGGACTCTGCGTCTGCATACAAAGCCAAGACCACTAAAGTGGTTTGAGCGTCAAAACATCGTCTTAATTAGAAGAGGATTGGCTTGTGGACCTTAATCCTTTGACCAGAAATTATGAAGGGAGAGAGGAAGGTCTGTGATAAACCTCATGAAAATTTGGAGAATTAAGTCATCTTTAAAAAACAGTGACTGAAATACACAATATGAAGACATGGAGTTAAGGGTGTAAAAATAGGAGTATTTCGAATATTTTTATGCTTTTTTATTCCTTAATTAATGTATAAGAATTATATATATATTACAAACTAAGACTTGTTTTAAATTTCCATTTATACAGAAGATGTTTGTTCACAAAAATACATACACTATCTTTACAGTACTAAGCCAATACGATAATGTTGATTTTTTTTTACATAAGATACACAATATCGCTACTGTGAACCCACTGCGGATATATAAAGATGTCGATAGTGTCGGAGATATTTTATATCAGACATTTAATATTGCATAATTAAAAATAATTAAGAAGTATTTTGTTGGCAACCATTAAACTAGTTAATAATAATTTAACCTAACTGTTAGATTTATAGCTATTTTTAAATATTGAAAAATATAAAGTGACGTATTGCTTGTACACTACTTAAATAATAGTTAAAGAGTAATAAAGCAACCTAGGATCTGAAAAAGGCACTTTTCAAAATCAAAATTACAAGTTCAAAATATTAAAAAACAAAGACAAGTTGCCCCTTCAAAAGGTAGTTTCATATGGAGAAGAATGGCCAAAAAATTCCCTGACTGAACTGACTGTCAGTGGAACTTGAATAGTATGATTTAATCCTAATGCTAGGTGCATTTGTGTTTTCTATACTCTTCATTACAATAACATCTTTAACTGGACATTTGGCCAGGCACATATTTCAATACGTCTGAACATCTGAATCTATTCGTACATTTTATTTGTTACTGAATGTATCCATTTTATTAAATGCGGTGGTCCAATTAATCGTGGTTTTACGGCGAGTGGTAGGTATTACGTTCCTTTTCACTACTAACAGTAAAAAACGCAAAAGTAAAAATATTTTTTTTTAATGTTTACTAAACCTGGAATTAGGTAGGCAGTGATGCCAACTAAAGAATAAAATAACAATTGAAGTTAATTCGATATATTGTTCGTGATATTGAAATATTTGTTATTTTCGTATTAGGTCACTTGAGTAAGTAAATATTTAGATTTACCTTCAAATTTGTCCCTTTTTCGGTGGAGAACTTTTTTAGTAGAAACACTTATGAAATGTCAGAATTCCACGGAATGAAAAATCGGAGTATAGGTACTTAATAACAACGTAACGTAACACCCGATGGGCTGTTACGTCTATCGGTTTTTACGACCAAACCACGTCTTTATAACAGATTTTGTCTGTATGTACTTTCGAGATGACAATTCGATCGATTCAGAAGATCCAGATACAAACTTAACTTAATAATTTAGCATAGATAAATTCTAGTCATATAATATAATAAATTCTAGTCATATAATATAATATCAACTAAATAATAATTTGGTCATTAAATTTTCATTCATAATAATCTTTGTTCCGTCGAATAGACCAACACTGCAAAATAAGCTTTATTCGAAGCTCAGTGTCATTTCCGATAACAAGGCAGATAACGCAGTGATTCATTTGTGCCCTGTGACAAATGTTTGTTATGTTTCTGACTTCGTTATTATTCGTATATCTTGTATAGTGTTTTGTTTAATGTAAAAGTTATCGTGTAAAATGGCTGCTATAATAGAGCGACGGAGGTTGTTCGAAGAAGTAGGTTTATATTCGCTTATCACTACTTTACGCGCTACTTTCAATACGTCTTACATAGATACAAAATTTTTACTAACGATTCAAGACTTGATACATTCACTTACAATATTAAGCAACATCTTCTCAATCTGTTCTGTGCTGCAACGGAAAGTGTTCTTATTGTGCAACAATAGTTTAATTATAAATTGTGTTATATAGAAATTATTGTCAAGTACCGTTAACATGTCAAAAGGAAGAGAATGGCTGCCCACGACACAGGGAATCCTAGTGTGTGGGCTAGTGCACTTTATTTTTAAGTAAATATCATTTTTATTATCCTCTTTATATAATTCTACTCCACGTGTGTATGTCATGAACTTCTCCTTAACGGCTGGACCGATTTGAATGAATGTTTTTGTATGCGTTTGGGTGGCGCCCTACATTCACAAATCAGCCCGGCAGATGGCGCTGCAGTCGGTAACTAGGTTCAAAAATCAAAATTGAGTTTGAGTTTGAACACACAATGTACACTTATGAACGTCAAAAAAGAAATATACATTAAAGGCTTCTAATTTGACATTTACTGCCAGTTCTCAAATCAAGGGCGTAGAACGAATTAGAAGAACTGGCAATAAACTCGTCGTTATTTTTTTTTTTCGTTATTTATCTACAGCAAATAAACAGCTATTATATATATAAATCGTCTGTGCATTTGTTCGAAATTAAACCCTTAAACGGCTGGATATATTTTGGTGAATTTTTTTGTGTATTCAAGTGGAATCGAGAATTATTAACATTATTAGATTTGTTTTTTCTATGTACAGGACAACGTCTGTCGGATCCGCTAGTATATTATAAAGTTGTTTTTTTTTTAATATTATATTAATATACATTTACATTTTAATGTCTAGTTTCTATATTCGTAAGTGCTACGAAACCAATTTTTTAGACTAGAACGCTCCATAGTTCACTTGCGGCTGATATTATGGGATCGAACTTCCGATTCCAAATCTAAAGTTTATAATCGCTCGATTGAAGTTTATTTGTTTATAGTTATCAATGAAAGAATGGGATATACCATACGACGAATTGAAACTATACGAAGTAATAGGGGCTGGGCGGTTCGGTACTGTGTACCGAGGGAGTTGGCACGGCGCTGTAGCGGTCAAAGTCTTACACGTGCACGCACTGAACGATCACTGTGCGCCGTTAGATACGTTTAAACATGAGGTAAGTTGAAACTTTTATTTTATGGGTATTCCCCTTTTATATGTTTCATTTATTTATTGGTTTTACTATTATTCATCGTACTGAATTAGGAGTTATGGCAATACACCGATTAATTTTTTTTTTTTTTTTTTTTTTTTGTCCATTGACCTAGTCCCATGCTAAGCTGGTGAAGCTTGTGTTATGGTGAGTACTAGGCAAGTTTATATAATATTATAGATAGATAGACATATAAATACATATTTAAACACCCAAGACCTAAGCACAACACCAAATGCTCATCACATCGATGTTTGTCTCAGCCGGGGATCGAACCCGGGACCCATGGATTCGCAGTCAGGGGTACTAACCACAAGACCAATGAGTCGTCAAATTTAAAAATTTTGTTGTTTATTTATGGTTCGGCTAACCTGACGTAAGCTTTTTGCAAATCTAGTTTCCTCACTATGTTTTCGCTGTATATTTTTTTAATGGAAAGAAAACCTAATGTGTAGGTGATAAGGCCCTATTGACATTTTAAAAATTACATTTAAACGGAATTAATCTTGAATTGTGTGTACGCTATCGCGCTAGTTAGGTTTAGACTTTTTTAGAATAACATATTGGGTGACGTGGGAATATTATTTATGTATAAAGTCAACAGCTTATATAAAAAATATAATTTTAAGTATATAGCTAAAAAAGTAAATTTTATACTAAATTTAAGTGGTTTTCAATTATGTATAACATTTTTAAAGAAGGCCTTTGTTCTATACATGATTAATGTGAAAATAAATCTGATAGTTATATAAAATTCAAGGATTTGTTATTCCCAAATCTATAATTAATAAAATATTCCAGGTGGCAACATTCCGTAAAACGAGACACGAAAACCTAGTACTATTCATGGGCGCGTGTATGAAACCGCCACGGCTCGCAATAGTGACGTCATTGTGCAAAGGGATGACGTTGTATACCCACATTCATTTAAGAAAGGATAAATTTACAGCAAACAAAAGTGTATTAGTTGCACAACAGATATCACAGGTTAGTTTTTACCTTTGTGTATTTAGAGGGTGGTCATTACTCCTATGTACACTTCTCGGCAGGATCTCGTATGACAAATTTATAATTGACTTTTGTGGGTATTTACAAATTTTGTATCAATATGATACTTTTATGATACTTTGTGTTCACTAAACTAAAATTTTTGGAGGTACACCACAAGTTAAAAACCACGTAAATATAAACTTCAGAATTTTAGCGGTCGCTCGTCAATATGGCGTCGGCAACAAACTTTGATGGTGTTTTCGAAAGTTTAATAAAAAACAAGTTCAAGGGAAGAGTGTAGTGTGAATTTAGCTGTGAATGACTCAAGTAATTTCTAAAGAAATATTTTTTGTTTCATCTCTTTTATTTCTTCCTAATGATATCGTATCGTACGAATGGCCTAAGCATTAGCCAGCCAGCTTATTAAATGTTGTAACAAACGCTACGGCTGAATATCATTCAGGCCGCCACTGAACACTGAACACTAAACGGCGCTGTTTAGTTAAAGGGCTAGGCTGATAATTGAAAGGTTATTCAGCTAATTGGCTGCGACATATACATTTTAATATATTTCGACATTCCGCCCCCCAAAAGTTAGTCAGTAAAATTAAGTGTCATACGATTCGCACGTCTTTTCATTCAAATCAAGACCCTCAATGTCAATAGCCACCATTGCATAGAATACAGTTTTTTAACTTACTTTGTACTTTATATACCGTATTATTTATTTATTTATTACATAAATACATTATCCTTACAGACTATGTCAATACGATAATGTCGAGAAACATTAAATAAAATATAATAAAGTAGGTACATATATAATATTAAACACATAATATACACAATATCGCTACTGTGAATTCACTCTGCGAACATATAAATATGTCGATAGTGTCGGAGACAGCATTCAGTAGGCACAACGTCTTTGATAACGGGGATCTGTGCAACAGACTGGTTCTTGCCCTTGGCATCGCAAATAACCTAGGCCTTCGCCGTCGCACTTTCCCATAGGCACTAAGAAACCCAGTTCTTGGAGTACACTTGGGTTGGACACTACACCCCTCAAGACTTTCAGTACGTAGTAGGACAACTGTAAGTCACGTCTGGTTTCCAATTTATTGTAGGTACCCCACCATCCCTAAGACAAATAATGTCGGGTACATTAAAAGATAGTAGGGATATACGCCATTATGTAGCGTATTTACAAATTTGCAGGGTATGGGCTATTTACACGCGAGAGGCATTATCCACAAAGACCTGAAGACGAAGAACATCTTTCTGGAGAACGGGAAAGTGGTCATCACGGATTTTGGGTTATTTAGTGTCACCAAATTATGCTTTGGGAATAAGTAAGTTGTTTTTTATTTACGCTTAGTAAATGTGTGTGATAATAGGTGTTTTATGTTCTTTAACTTCATAATTTTAATTTAAAATAGTTATTCGCCCATTAAACGTTACGTTTACGCTACATACCTACCTACAGTGTGGAAACACAAACAATATATTTTTAAGTCAACTCTGTCTGCGCTCTTTTCACTCGATGTCTATACATAAATTAATAGTTAAAGTGCAAGTCGATTAATATAACCATACTAGTGGACCCCACAGACGTTGTCCTGCATGATATTTAAAGCGATTAGGATATTAAGCAAAGTATGAAAGTACCGACTGCAGTGCCATCTGCCGGGCTGATTTGTGAATCTAAACCATTCCCAGATCCCCTTGATCACACACAAAAAATTTCATCAAAATCGGTGCAGTCGTTTGAGAGAAGTTCAGTGACATACACACTCACAGAAGAATTATATATATAAAGATATTACCAAGGAAAAACCTGAGGCGGAAGTCTCAACTTTTAGATGTACCGCACACTCCAACTTGGTTAATAATAACAATAATAATTTATGTGCAAGAATGGTACAAAAATATTATGCTGGTACAATGCGAAGTTTAGTCGCATATTCTGCCACACATTATTGTGTGCAAATTTGTCTTACATAATTAAATCATATAATTTTAAAAGTATTTTACAACACTTCATCGTTTACAATGGGAATGCATAAATTTTTCATAAAATTTCTACTTTTATATAAATCCAATCCTCGGTAAAATCAGTACTCGAAGCGAACTGATTTTACCGAGGATTGGATTGGAGCAGGATTGGATTGGAGCAGTTAGGGCCGATTTACATTATCTTAGTGTTTAGCAGAGTGCTTTAGGATAGTACTTTAGTTGAAACATGTAAACGCTACTTGCTTTTAGTACGGTTCTACTTGACTTTCAAGTTGAAACAAAATAGAATCGCTTTTTATTTTTGTTTCAAGTGATACCCCTCCCGCGCCCGCGCATCCCCCCGAGATCTTCCCTCGTTGTGTGTAAACAGTAAACACGTAATTTAGTAAAATCTTTAGGAGAGTGCACAAGTGCCGTGAAACGCGTGCGTGTTTTTTGATTTTTAAAGATGGCTAAATGGTCGGAAGATACAACTATCAAATTTGTGTCTGAATATGTTGTTCACGAATGTTTGTGGAACGTTAAAAACAATTTATACAAAAACAAACAGGCTAGGCATTTGGCATACACTGCCTTAAAAGAAGCTATTTTATTTATTATTTATATTTAGTTTATTTATTTCGAATAAAATCTCGACTTCTATCTATTCCATAACTACAGTTAGTATTTTGCGTAGAATAGAGCGTATTTGCCGACGTCGTTGCGCGTTCATTGTGGCGCTGTAATGATACTCTACTGGAAGAAATGTAAACGTTCACTCGCAACGCACTAAAGCACTAAAGAACTTGCCTTTCAAGTTGTACTAAAATACTCTCCTAAACACTAAGATAATGTAAATCGGTCCTTATATACAAAAATATAGCTTTAACTGTATTTGCTGACGTATCTTGCAGTGCCCGTGGAGACAGCTTGGGTATTCCGTCAGGCTGGCTCTGTTACTTGGCACCGGAATTGGTTCGCGCGTTACGACCTCACGCCTCGCTTCATCTACCTTTCTCCAAGCAGACGGACGTGTACGCGTTTGGGTATGTATATTGTAAATGTAAACATTTGTGCTGTTTTTTTTTGAAATCGTATTACTTGAAAGTACAGTCTTTGTACTATCAAACTTGACATTTGACACATGACAATTTAGACAATAATGGTGGCTAATGTCAGTTATTCATTTAATAAAACACTATTTTGACCGGGATTGAAGTTATGTATTATTATAAATTTACAACTATAGTCACCGTAGTCACCGTGACCACGCACGCTGTAAAGCACGCGAAACGTCGGATAAATTTAAAATTATGTTAAATAGTTGTAAATTTATAATAATACATAACTTCAATCCGGTCAAAATAGTGTTTTATTAAATGAATAAAAGTTATGTTAATCAAAGACAATACTCAGTTATTCATGTTGGTAACTTAATGTATTAACTTATATTGCCAGTTATCAAATCAAGGGTTAGAACGGGCGATTTTTTATGGCAGTAATATTTTACTATTATTTATAGGAATTACTGAATTTAAAACCGCTTAAAGAAACAACAAAAGCTTATTTTTTGTTCTTTTACAGTACGGTCTGGTATGAATTGTTATGCGGGGAATACCCGTTTAAGGGTCAGCCTGCTGAAGCTATTATTTGGCAAGTGGGCAAAGGGGCGAAACAATCGCTTGCCAATATGCAGGCTTCTAGAGATATTAAGGTGAGATTATTATATTTATTTAGTTATTTTTGTGAAAGCAATTGTGTGTGTGTGAGAATAGTACTAAGTACTATTCTCACACACTTAGTAATAAGGGTGGATCTAGTGTTCGCGTTTTATTTTAATAATAACTGTTTTTATTTTAACAGTATCCAACGAATATTAGTAATAAACACAGTTTTCAAGGTCCCATAAGGTGACTCATGAACCCCATCATTCTAGTTCTGCGATTGCATGGTAATCTCCTTCGTTTCTGACATATTTCACATAATTGTATTATAGTATAAATAGCGTCCTAATTTTTCCTTTTTATAACTCTTGTGTTTTTTTCAGGATATCCTAATGCTCTGCTGGTCGTATAGAGAAAGCGAGCGACCGGATTTCCCTCATTTATTATCAACACTAGAAAAGCTTCCTCGAAAGCGTCTAGCTCGCTCTCCCTCACACCCGGTACATCTGTCTCGCTCTGCCGATTCCGTCTTCTGAGAAAGGCTGGCGGGCACGCTTTGTGTAAGGCCCTAACCAAATTTAGAACCTTCTTTATATGTGATATCGCCCTGGTCCTTCTACAAACCCTTATTCAGACTGATTTTAACTGAAGTAATCTTTCATCTCTTTCTGTCAAATTGTGATATGCTGTGATGAAAAGGGATAGTTTAATACTTAAGTCAAAATGATGCAATAATTAGACTGATCATTTTTTTATTGACAAAAGAGTCTTTATATTATTATTTTGACTATTACTTTAGAAAAACACTGCTCCGTTGTGTCACTGATAATTTTTTTCAGACTAGTTAACTTTGACCAAAACATTTTTTATTCACTGGCAATCAAACCCAGACACAAAAACCAGTGGTGAAGCAATTATAGAAAAATATTTGTTATTCAAAGATGATAAGTTAAGTCCTTATTTGCATGGATTTACGGACCCTTATCAAGAGAGACATTAGTGGTTCCTGAATAATTTTATTCTTAAGTATATTCAATTGTTTTTATTCTTGTGTTATGTTTTATGGATAAGCCCTTGTCTAATTGTTACATCATGTGGTTGAACCATAGATATACGGAATATTTTTATTTATTTTATATGTCTATGGCTTATACAGACTACTGGCCTTATTCACATACCTAATTTATTCTATGGTTATTTTTTAAGGCAAGCCTGAATTTTTTTGAGTAATATATGCTATTTATAAATTTAAAAAACTCTACAATTAGTGTCTCTATGTAATATTTTGGAAACTTTTGGAATTTAGCTCCACATCTTTTGAGTAAATTGCTTATTTTATTCATTCATAAAAATATGACTATTTATATTATGTATGAGAACAAGGCCAGTATGCTTTAAACCACATTCAATGGGTAGAATTAGGACGATTTACTACATAGAAAAACCTATGTATTAATATTATCACATGAAAAATGGTATATAATCAAAGTTTGTTGGGGATTCCAATATCACAAAGCGCGACGCAACTTGGACTTTTATGAATATATCTGTATATAGACTATTTTGGTAATGAATAACTATAATGTATATACTTTGGACTAATATCATATCTTTAGGTAAACGGGTATTCGCTACTTACATGAGTTGTATGTTCTGATCTCTACAAATTTATTTTTACTGTGAGTTAATTTTAACTGTAACTGTAAATAATATAAAGAGATCTAATTAAGTATGCAAATTTCTCATTTTATTATTAAATCCGAATTACACTTATTTAACAGGAATAATCAAAAATTTTTGCTTACCCCTTGAATTGTGTCCCTTTAAAAGAATATTAATAATTGTAAATATAAGTTGTCATAAAGTATTTTGACTTGTTCAATAAATCTTTTGAATGTGTTTTCTATGTAAATATGATATGCATTATTGTAAAAATAATATAAGTATTATTTATTTTTCTTCATTTTCGGTTAAGGGGACCTTCAAATATTACGTAATCAATATAGGGGGTCTTTGTTATTTTTATTTGGTGACCGTCAACAGTAATTATTAACTTTTTTACACATATTACCCACACATTGTCTATGCTTGAAAATGAAATGCATTTTCGAGGATTCCTACAAAAAATTAATATGTTTATGTAGTAAATCTGCTCACGTAATACTTGAATGGCCCCTAAGCAGTATAAGTAAAGATATAACATTATAATTTATTAAAAAATTACAGAAATTAAAGGGTCATATTCATTATGTAAATCAATATTAAATATAGTTTCAAATATGCTCTATTATGAAATGTCTCACACATCACCTTACAACCTTGTATCATTTTTATTAAAAATGGCATATAACAATTTATAAAATTTAATAGAAGTATCATTAATTAGTCATACAACAAAATTATGTTATGCAATTTTTCTTTCAGTTGTATTTAAAAAATCAGAAACTACCCACCATTTTACATTTTCTATGCTATTGACTTTGACATATTGACAAGTATATTTCAATTCAAGAGACTTCATTATGACCAAATCAAATAGTTTTAATTGTATTCATAGTTCTAAGTCTTCACTATTTATTTTAATGTAAGTATCTCCCGAAATTGTATTAAAGTGTAAAAATACTAGTATTGTATAAATTAGCTCTTATTGTTATTTTATTTTAAATTATTATAAAATAAGAAATTGAATTCTGGTCACTCAGCTCCTATTATTATAAATTGTTGTATATTGATAACAGAGTGACAGCCGCATAATTTGTATATAGTGCAAGTGGCAAGGCTTGTTATATAAAATTTTACATATTCCATTTGATTATTGACATGGTTACTTACCAGTTCTTACATATTATGTACCACCTACTTATTTTTGTCAAGTGTTATATTTGGCAAAGCTTTTTTTTCAAACAATTACAATTGTTTTTACTAAATAATAATTTATTTTGTATATATTATTTTACATTTTCCCCCCCACCCACCAGTTCTATAGTATTTTAGTAAAGATATTTTAATGCTTTAGCAAACTACACTATGATTTATTCCTTACATAAGTCATTATGTAATTCTCAGACAGGGTTGAGTAAGTAACTATGTGTACAGAAATGCAGTTGAATGCCTGAAAGTAGTTTTACACAATGTATTGAGATTTCTGTTACTAGGTTAGTTGCATTTGCCAAAATAAATCTCCCATCACTGTTTTATTTCGTTTTATTGTCTATTGAAATTATGATACATGACCAGCAAGGATGCTAGCTATATTAGTACACATGGTTTTGATTTCATCATCACTCAGATATTCAGCTCCTAATATTGCGTTACCAACAGCAATTGTTTCTCTCATAGTGTTAGCTTTAATCCAGATTCTACCATTCATGCCTGCAGCCAACTCAAATGGCCATTCATTCTTCAATGACTCTAATAGAGGACAAATAGGATTCAATATTTTTCTTATTAAGTTCAGTGAACATTTAAAAACAAAACCATCGTTCAAAACTCCCAGTCTTCCTTTTTTGCCATGTGAGTCTACACAAACTAATTCTGGTTCCATATCTTTGCTAGCAACAAGCATTTTAGCGTAAACAACATCGCCGATTTGAACTTCAGGTCGGTTCTTCTTTGTGGCACCCTCAAATGAAAGATATGACAAAGCTGCAGTACAACTTCCTCCAATGTCTACACGATACAAATCACCGGCTTTTTTGAACTACTATACCAATAACATTTTCACTTCTAGAAGGGACGTATCGCTTCTGATAACTATCCACCCAAAATGTATTGGGGTTTCGTTTCCTTAAAACTCCCGCCTTCATGATGTAGACTTGATCCACTTCTTTCCGTAAACCCGGCCCTAATACAACTTTGGATTTTACACCAACAGCCATTATTTCATCGCAGTAATCGCCTGGTAATACGACATCTCCTATTTTAACTTTCATTTTAGTATTTCTTTTTCCATTAATAACTTAAAATTAGTTTTAGTTGAATTAAGAACAATAACAACACATGCTTGAAGATTTATATATTAATTTTTAGACAATTTGTAGTGTGTCAACGTCATTACTTATTGTTCCAATGACGTGAACTTCAACTGACAGTGTTTGTTATATTAGATTTTATTATGTAGTTTTACTCGTAGACGGACTGTACTCTATCTACGATTTAACTTGGTGTTTGTCGCCTTTACTCATCAATCGTTTGACGTATTGACTATTGACTATTGCCATCCGAACGTCAAAAATCATAGTAACTAACATGTGTTTTGTTTTGAATTTGAATAAAATAATACATGTGACTAGAAATTAAAAGACCTTAAAATATTATTGTCGCTTTATAAAAAGTTAACTATGCCAGCCATAATTCAAAATGATGTTCTTGTTTACAAAGGAAGTAATTTTTTTCGCCAGCGGCTATTACTATCTACTCTAAGTGGACGTTCTGTAAAAATAGAAGAAATAAGAAGTACGCAAGATGACCCTGGTCTCAGAGAGTACGAAGTAAATTTAATACGGTTACTGGATAAAATAACAAACGGTACTCGAGTGGAGTTGAGTGAGACTGGGACATCATTGTATTATCAGCCTGGTATATTGATAGGTGGACAGGTTACTCACAGTTGTTGCCCTCAGAGGGGAATAGGTTAGTTTTATTATTAGTCATTAAGTTAAGCAACCAGTCTCGAATTAGGATGTATATAGAAAACTTTCAAAGATAATATGGTAATAGTAATAATGATGGAACATTGTCACATATCAGGTTGGGCTACTAAAAAATACATAGGTTGATTAGGGACAGACAATTTTGCTTTAAAGTAACTAGCTGATTAGCAATTTTAGTCTTCCTTCCAGCTTAGATTGGTAATTATTTTCTTAGGCATTTAACACAATGAGACATTCAATTCTCAATATATAATATGTTGTTTTCAGAGTTTAATTTTTACCTTTGTTTTTCTTATAGGTTACTACCTGGAAGTTTTATTAGCCCTGGGCCCATTTTGTAAAGAGCCTTTAAATGCTGTTCTTCAAGGGGTTACGCATCATGATTTAGATGTTTCTGTTGATAAAGTAAAAGCTGCGGCATTACCAATCTTACTAAAATTTATACTAGTTGATGATGGTTTAGAATTGAAAGTAATAAGACGAGGTGGGTCTAATGAATTTCTTATGTTATGATAAAAGGTTGGAAACCTGTGAAATTTATTGCCAAATACTTTTACTTTAATAATGTAATAGTAAATAGATTTGTTATTGTATGGTATATGTTTTATTCTAATTTTGTATTATGATATTGATTTGTCTCCGAGTTTTAAGTGTAATATTTACTCTGTTAGTATGCCTTGTAAAGAAATAAGTGTTACTTGTCCTAATAACACCATTTCCCTATTTAGATTCAGGGATGTAAAATCAGTCTATGATTTTTTCAAATTTGATAGCAAACATCTAAATTTTTAAAAACCTTAGATATGTATAAATGTTTTGTCAAGGAACTTCTTTGTAGCTCAATATATATACATATTGTTATTTTTGTTGTAGTATCTGCTACAAATAATAATGTGTCATATGTTCATTGTTCATAGGTGCACCACCTTTAGGCGGTGGGGAAATAGTATTCAAATGTCCTGTCAGAAGACATTTACGGCCACTGCAATGGACTAAGTGGGGCTTAGTGAAAAGAATAAGGGGAGTTGTATATGCACTCAGGGTATCACCAACCATGGCAAATAGAGTTGTTGATGCAGCTAAAGGGGTAATTATAACAATTTGAGGTTTTTTATTGTAATCAATAATAATCCAAGTTTTGTTTGGGTTATTTTGCACAAATTTTTTTTGGTGTAAATTATTTATGCCCAATTTAAGCTTACAAATCTTTATATGTAGTGTTGTATGATTTGTCTCAATCAAGATATATTTATATATGGTCATTGGATTTCAGGTAATGCTTAACTTCCTACCAGATGTGTACATTAACACAGATCAATGTCGAGGTTCCAATGCCGGAAAAAGTCCAGGGTTTGGAGTCAGTCTTGTTGCCGAAACTAATGACAAAACATTCTACTGTACTGAAGCTGTTAGTATTTATTTTATTCCATTGTCACTTCTTATCTTTGGTTTTTGTGATATTACACAAAACCGAAAGACCCAACCTGAATTACGCTTAGAAGGCTGTTACTATGTCTGAAAATAGCTCTGAGCACTATGCCGTCATTTCTGAGCGGTACATGTGAGTACGTGAGTGAATGGACTTTCTCAGGTACAATGGGGGAATTTCGACTAATTATTAATGTACGGCTTTGTTATAAGTGTATAGATGATTAAAAATAAATGTCGGAAAACCTAGTGCCGTACAAAAGTGATGGTGGGAAGTCGGTGCAAATTTTTAATTCGACGACAGTTGCAGAAGCAATAGGACATTTATTACTGTACGGCATTTGTGTGATTCCTTTTGGACACATATACAGATACTTTACCCGTAAACGCCGTACATATTCCCAGGGACGGGTCGAAAGCCAAGGGTCGAACTGTCTGATTAGCATATAGGTGATGATGATATGAAACAACATAAAATTAAATGATCTTGAGGGTACTTCACAAATAGATAACATTTTCCAGCATGCCGTACATTTTTGTGGAACACATAGGTGTATGGGGGTAAATTACTTTCCTCAGAAAAGAGTCATTTTCCGGTGACTTTTATCTGTACGGCAATAACACAGGTTATTAATACTTTAGACAATCTTCAATAAAAGATAAATGCCGTACACTTTCGATAGTCCGCTACCACCGCCTACTCAATACAGGGCGTCCCAAAGTTATGGGAAATGAAGGGAAAGTACCTTTAAATATCGTAGATAGGGGTATTTTACTAAAAGAAGACTTCATGTTATTTTTAAAAGTTATAATTCTGCATTCAAAGATTTTTTAAAATTACTTGCCTCGGTCTGGGAATCGAACCGACTTAAATGTAAAAAAACACCCTTACTTTTATCATGCCAATCGAAAGAATGGCCAAAAACTAATAACTCTTCTTAAGTAACATAGTATTTTATAAAGAAAAGGAACAGTGTGAATATATCTTTTTAAATCAAATTAAAAACATTATCTATCGTATCCGCCCTAAAAAATCCCCTACGAGTCTGTTACTTTAGAAAAGTTATTGGGTTTTGGCCATTCTTTCGATTGGCATCATAAAAGTAGGGGGTGTTTTAATTTAAGCCGGTTCGATTTCCAAACGAGGCAAGTAGTTTTAAAAAATCTTTGAATGCAGAATTACTAACCTTTAAAAATAACATAAAGTCTTCTTTTAGTAAAATACCCTATCTGTTATTTAAGGTACTTCCTTCATGTCTCATAAGTTTGGGACGCAATATTTTTATTTTTGTTAAAAATATTTTTCCTTTACCTCTCTCTGGGTACGATAAGGCTGTAAATATACTTTACAGCCTTGTAGGAGTATGCTTCAGATATGTACAGTTATTAATGACCTTAGGGGACACCTCAAACGTCGTCGAAGTTTTATCAGCTTTACAGAATAATCTGGAGTAAAATGTACGGCTCTCGTTTTTTTGTTTATTTATATTTGTTACATATAAAATAACAATAATCTTTGAAAATATTACTCCCCATATTACTCTAGGAGCATTTGAAAAGTCATCTAAATTTCGGAAATTTCATATATTTTTTATCATAATATTTTAATTTGTTACCATTTATAATGAACGGCTATAATGTACAACAGGTAATATTTAGCAACATTATGTAAAAAACAAGTTGTCGTACATTATTCTCTGATCTTACAGCAGTAAGAACTTGGTAAATCCTGAAATTTCGATAAATATTTATTTACACAAATATTAACTATAATTTTTGGAAGCATAATTATAAAACATTATTGTCCGTGTTAAAATAATATTTTGAACATGTTGCCGTACATTTTACAATGACCTTAGGGTATGGGGGTGGGGTAGGGTTCCGACCCTTGGCCTTTCGACCGCTCCGCTGGAAATATGTACGGCGTTTACGGGTAAAGTATCTGTTGTGTCCAAAAGGAATCACACAAATGCCGTACAGTAATAAATGACCTATATTGCTTCTGCAACTGTCGTCGAATTAAAAATTTGCACCGACTTCCGGCACCATCACTTTTGTACGGCACTAGGTTTTTCGACATTTATTTTTAATCATCTATACACTTATAACAAAGCCGTACATTAATAATTAGTCGAAATTCCCCATTGTACCTGAGAAAGTCCATTCACTCACGTACTACATGTACCGCTCAAAAACGGCATAGTGCTCAACTATTTTCAGACATAGTACAGCCTTCTAAGCGTAATTCAGGTTGGGTCATTTCACAGGTATTTTTTGTTCATGGGCTTGTGGTCTAATAGTATTATATTTTAATTTTATAATGATTTAGTTGCAGTTGCAATTTCCTTGTAAACCTATTTTAATAAATGAATTTTGATTCGTTCATAGAAGTCTGTAGAAGCCGGCAGCGGTGATAGCACACTGCCTGAAGACCTTGGTCGGGAATGTGGCATGAGGCTTTTAGATGAAATACACCGTGGTGGCGCAGTGGACTCGTCTTTTCAATGGATCCTCGCTTTGTGGATGGCTTTGGGTCAAAAAGACGTCAGTGAATGTGTGGTAAGTTCATCGTATTAATGTATGACAATAATATGTTGTATATTCTTAAATGTTAGACAACTAATTTAATTTTCTCTTATGTATTTAAGAGAACATTATAATTTGTAATAATTATACAATAGAGGAGTACAATACAATGTCTTTTTTAGATGTGATTAAAGATAATCATTAAAAAAAATCTTTTTAATTTTCTGGCCTTTAATTTAAAGATGTATGAGATGTCGCGAGAAAAATGTTTATTTTGTACTTATTCTGTTTATTGAGCCAGTGGCTTGTCTCAGGGTCGCACAGTTTTTAACGCTGAAAGAATGTTTGTCATCGGTAGTTTTTAAGTTTATTTGTTGTTTCATACAAATATTTTTACAATATTAGATTTTTATTTATTTTTGTTTCAGGTTGGACCTTTATCAGAATACACGATCAAATTTCTCCAACACCTAAAAGAATTCTTCGGTGTTATGTTCAAACTGGAAGTGTTGCGTGAAGACGAAGATTCCGACGAAGAAACGGTTGTCTCGCAAAAAGTTAAATTAACATGTGTAGGCATCGGTTATGTCAATATTAGTAAAAGAACGTTGTAATACAGATTTTATGGAACTTGACTTTTTATTCCCGATATTAAATAAATATATGCACTCAGTGCTTTGAATGTTCGGCTGCAGATCCTGATGGCAAGGGGCCATGGATGGGGGCCGAAAATGTATTTTTTTAAATAATAGAATGTTGGTGTGTGAAAAACACCAAATTACAACCCCAAAGAAAGAGCACGTCATGCGATTGCGTCCACACGTGTGCGCTATATCTCACGCGTAAATGACCCGTTTCAATAGCCGGTATGGCGGTGTGTCTGACGGACTTTTCATAGAGTGATGATCAAAATTTTGTCTGTTATTTAGAAAAAAAAAAATTGTGCATAAATACAATTTAAACATAATTTATTGAACCGAACAACTGATACTAAACGCAATGAAAACTTCTCTGATGAGGATGTGTTTTTGAGGTTAATTAAGATACCTACGACAATATTTTATAATAATATTGTACCTCATATTTATTATAACTGTTCCTAATTATTTATAATGAATCACGAAACATATTCATTCGTTATTTTAAAACAAGCCTTCGCAATGGTGAATAAAGAGTTATTTCCAGAATTATTTATATCCCAGATATTTAGGATAACCTTTGGAAATAGCTTCTGAGCATCTTTTGGCAGTCGCTATGTACCCAACAGCTAAAAATGCCCTCTCACACTCAACTTAGGTTGGTTGCGCTACAATAGCGCTATTATAAGCGAACTGAATGACCCCTTGTAACCCCGTAAAAGTTACACTCATATAGATTCATCTCTTTTTTACTATCTAACCTCGCAGAAACACTTAAAGCATTTTTAGACACTCTGATATTCTCTTCTAATTGAAGTGTTGGTTTTAGTAGCACGTAAATTCAAATAAGTACATGATTGCAAAAGGCAATTCAACTTCGTTTTCTTTTGCGGTGTTAATCTCGTTATCAGCCGTGTAGGCGACGAATAGGGTATCAGACGATATATTTGCTAGGAAAATGGATAATTTCTTCGCCTTTGAACTGTTCCTATTCATCTTTAAATAACACTTAGTTTGATACCTATATAACAACGCTGCTGTTACATGTTTTCGACGCTAAGACACGCTTGTTCATTGAAGAGATTAATTTTCTACTGACACTTAATCTCGAAGTTTCGCTTCGGGATTGATCTCGAACAATGGCACGAGATCTCGCGAGATCGGGATTGAATTCCCTAATTAAGAGAAAGACACTGTTCTTGTGTGCTATTTTGAATGGAGGCATAAAATCATAAAGGGTTAAAATCCTTAAAGCAGGAGTTTAGGTATATTTCTTTCTTTCTAAATATTTGTTACAATAAGTAAGGAGTAAGAAGAAAAAAATATATTTAAAAAATTTATTTGTCTAACTAAAAATACCTTAAATCTATATTTATTATATAATAATTAAGGCACATTTTGAAATGTTTTCGATATTTCATTAATTTTGATGCGCTATATAGTGCTTATATAAAAATACAAAATGGCAGTGATATTATGAAAAGAGTATAAAAGTAGGAAACATTTGAGTATTAAACTTTACTTATATTTTTATAAATAGGAAAATGTACATGAATATCGTTGTAAATATTGTCACAGATAATTATATCAGTCAATGACGTCACATATATCAAACTAGAAATACATTATAAAAGTACATTTTTATAACAACGAGTATACTTGAGACCAATTTCACTAGGATGGAAAATAATATTTCCATATCACGTGACCTGCCTGATTTCTAACAAAAAATCCAAAGAGAAATAAAATCTAATATCCGTGAATTTTGACGTTAAACGATATTCTATTTGATCGTGAAATCAGGCCCATTTTCGTTAGAACCTTAGGCATAAAGAATATTATATTATTATTAGTATTATTCTCTCAAATAATGATAAAAAGCATATTATTATTGTTGTTCATACAACAAAATCTTCATTTGTTTCAGTTGGATAGATTTTGCTATTCTTTATGTCTACGGCAATTAACGTTTACAAGATTTTTGATAGAAACCTATCAATTTTATTCAAGATCTTTCTCCTGACATCCCAAACCGGCAGACCAGTTACAAATGCCTCCAACAGGATCAAAGGAAAGCCCTTTGGGGCAAATGTATTCCCATCCCAGCACTGACCCACCACGTATTCGTGCACATGATATAAATTTCTTACAAGAAGAGGGATGTGGGAAGTTTCCGATATCCAAACATTCTATGTTACCTGAAAAAAACAAAAGATATATTACTATCGTGTTTTGTTGATGCGAGTACTACATAAATAAATTCATTATTTACATAATTCGAATGTTTTTCAGCAATCGTGATCAGCGACAGATGTGTTAATAAAAATAAAAAAAATCGTTTATTTGCAAAGAAAGTGGTACATGATTAATTATAAAACGCACAATCAGCCATATAAAATAGGCATGTAAATGTCATATATATTATCTTAATGTCATAATATGAAAAACAGTTGTTATTGATAATTTTTGCCAAAGCTTATGGGTCAAAATTCTCTACCCATAATACAAAGGCATGTAGTAAATTCGCGTTTATATATGTGAAATATTAATATCACGATTGTAATTATTAAATTACTAGTTTATTTGTAAAGTTTGTAACTGTTTAAATGGTATGAAGTACACATGAATTTTTATAGTGGAAATAAAAAATATTATCTCGATAAAAAGGGCTAGGAATTTAAATAAGAATGTAAAAAAATCAAGTTATTAACCTGTTCCATCTAAAATAACTTTGGTTTCCTTCTCATATTTGACTCCTATCTTCTCTTGATCATCATCGTAGTAATCAAATTCTGACGTTTTCGGCCCTGATGCTTTCACTATTTCTTTTTCGGACTCAATTTCCTTCTCTGGAATTTTTTCGAACGGTTTTCTAGTCGATCTTGGTTTAGGCGTTTCCGCGACTGGAGTTTTTAGTGTAGTTGAAATTCTTCTATAGATTGTTTTTCTACGTGGTGGTGACTTTTTAGTTGTTGTAGTTTGTGGTGTTGTTATAGGAGATAGGTATTGATACTCATCTGCAACAGAAAAAATATATAGATAATATACACTGAAACGTCGAACAAAAATGAGGGAACAACTTAATAAGGAAATACTGGAATGTTTAATATGAGGAAGGAATTACTTGTATCTTTTTTTATATAACATATCGGCAGGAACCTCATTGTCCATCGACAATCACATTGCCAGGAGGCTCGTAAGTGCGTTGCTAGCATTTTAAAAATTGGTATGCTCTTTTCATGAAGGACCCTAAGTCGAGTTGGAAATACTTCAAAGGGTAGCTGGTTCCACATAGTGGTGGTGCACGGCAAAAGCTGCCATAAGAAACGCTCAGTTGTGGAACAACGGATGTCAAGGTGATACGAATGATATTTTGTAATCTGCTTTGACATCTGATGATGAAACTCAGCGGCAGGTATTAATCCAAATAGCTCTTCTGAACACTCTCCATGGTAAATGGTGTGTAAGATAGCTATACCATTTAGTTACATAATTGTTTTTTAAGTCAATCATTTTAGAAATAAACTAAAAACATCGGAAATCAGTTATAATACCAGTTGTGTTAAATATATTTTTTAGCTAATAATTATATACTCACCATCATAGGCCTTAGTCACTGGCGACTCCAAAAGGTATTCTCTCGTAAAATACGAGGGCTCCTGACTAGCACCGTTTGAACCTGAGACCGGAATCTTACCGCTAGACCCCAAGTATCTAGCAGTAGACGGTCCTAACCTTAAGGTCGAAGCTTCGAGACCAACATTCAGTAAACTTGGTGAAAAACCAGCTGGTCGCGAGAATTTCCTCGTCGAAGGATACTCAGAAATGCTAGAAGCTGTCGGGTTTGACGGCAATCGTGGTCTTGTTACCCGTGGCTCATAATCTGCTGCAGTATTAAATCTGGTTGTTTCCACTGGATTAACTGTCGATATTGGTCTAGACTTTGCTTCATAATCTACTGTCGATGTGAAGTCGTAGGTAAACCGCGATGTGGATTCTCCAGAGTTGTCTGAACCAATGTTAAGTGATACACCGGACGGACGAATCGTATTTCGCGAAAATGGAGTAGAATCGGCAATTGGATTAGATCGAGTTCTGTCGTATCTTCCAGTCGAATCGAATGAGTCGAAAGTAGTTCCTTCTGTTCTGATATAAGGTGTCGATTCAAAACCATCAGGAATGGTGAATCTTACGCCCGGTCGTATGGTGTTTGTTGCAAATTGTGTGGTTTTATCAAATCTTCCTGTTGATTCACCTATAGTTGAATACGGTCTTCTTGTGAAAGCATCTGTAGATGTATATGGGAGTCTAGTGTCGTACGTTGAAGCGGTGTCAGTTTTGAAGTAAGGTGTTGAGGTTTCGAATCCCTGAGGTGAGTGGGTATGTGAATAATCTTCTGTGTTTTGAGTCTTTAATTCTTCGTTGTAAAAAGGACTGGTGTATTTGTAATCTACGATCGTTTGCGATGTTCTAGGCCTTTTCGTGGTTTTTGGTTCTTCATAATCTTGAATGACTGGAACGGGTGCGGCGATAAGTTGGTGTGCTGCTAAGGCTACGGCAGTTTCTGCGCTATAATCTATAATAAACAATATTATTTAGTAAAACATAATATTAAAGCTTTCGACTACCAAACATAATATAATCTATTATGACACAAAAGACGAACCTTCAGAAGTAACTAATCTCACTTCAGTAGTGGCTTCGATCTCCTCTCCACTAGACCGACCTTTCAGAGTCTCATCTAATTGATTTTGTTTAAACGTTGCACTATACTTCTTGCTTTGCCTCTCTTTCTTGTCATCGTTGGTAGCTGAGGGGTTCTGATCTGTAAAGACCACTTATGAGTTGATAGGCTGAATGTTTTATTAGATATTTTTTGTAGTAAAGTCAGCTCTAAAGAGTTCCGCGAGTAGTATATTTAATTTTGTAAATCAATTACCTTGATTTGCTGTGTCACTCTTAAGTTGAACTAGCGGTCTTCGTCTTTGTACATTGGTATTCTTGGTGTTTCGTGGTTGAAGAGATGGATCTTCGAACGCATCTGTATACAGAGGTGTAGGTATTAAGGTATACACCAAGTATATACACGAATTAGTTTATATTTGCAGAGCAACTAATATTTTTATTTTAAATAGCTTATTTTCTAATATTTGAGAACACGGTGTACACAACTATAGGTTAGTAGTTCTTAAATTTTAATTTTATCACTAAGTGAATGTAATTATATTAGAATTAAACTATTGAACCGAAGAAGTATATAATGTATAATTATTTAATGTATCTTTATTTTATCTTGTATATATTTTAAGTGTCTATTATTTATTTAAGAATTTTTATTTAATTTTTTTACTTATATTTTAATTGTATTTTTAAATATTTATTTTTTTGTAACATTTATGTTTACCTAAATTGTCATACATTTTAGATAAAAGAGTTTGTTTGATTATACCGTGGATATAGTAATATGTGTGTAAACATTAATAATTAAATAAAATACATACATTTAATGTATAAATTATCATTGGATATCAAGTCATGATACTCAGGGTACCAAAATACTTTTTAATACTTTTGTTACCCCACATCTCCTCTTATTTCTTATACTTAGCCATCAGTTTCCCTGACACATTTTATTGTTAGAGTTTTTACATTATTATAAATAGAAGAAGATCATACCAATATCCCCAAGATCTTGCAATGACTCCTCACTTTCTAACATTTGAGTAGTAGCTTGAGTGGTGGTAGTGGAAGTTGTGGAACTTGGACCGAAGGGCCGGCGTCTGCTGGCCACGCGGAATGGACGACGAGATGGTAATACTGACGAAACTGGTCTTGGAGTTGTGGCTAAAGAGAAAAATGAGGTTTTGAATTGTATAATAATAAGAATAATTTACACAAGATAGTGAAACAATATTTTATCGTACATTCATGTTTATAGGGTAGGTAACGACACACACTCAATATTAAATGATATTGCCGCCCATGGACACATACTCCCAAAAGGCTAGAGTGTTGAAGAGTTTTCTCATCTCGAATACGCAAATAATTTCGGAAATACTTTTACACATACATATTTTATAATTGGCTATTTAATTATGCAGTGTCGGCCTAGTGGCTTCAACGTGTGACTCCTCCATCCCTGAGGTCGTAGGTTCGATCCGGCTTTGCACCAATGGACTTTGTTAACATTCACTCGAACGGTGAAGGAAAATATCGTGAGGAAACCGACATGTCTTAGACCCAAAAAGTCGTCTTGCGTGTGTCAGGCACTGGAGGCTGATTACCTACTTGCCTATTAGATTGAAAAATGATCATGAAACAGATTCAGAAATCTGAGGCCCACACCTAAACAGTTGTAGCGCCACTGATTTATTATAACTAAGTACATTTTAGTACTTAATTTAATGAATTCATGGTTTACAGGTCGGTTTACGTCATTATAGTCAAGTCGACACAAGAAATTAAAAAAATCTTCAGTTTATGGATATTTTCTTTATTTTTTAGTCAATTTCCGCGTACAATACGTGTTACGTAAACGGATAATATACATTCTCTATTGTAAACCATCCTTGTATAGGAAGATGTTTTCACAATGGCCTGAACATTCACCGAAACATAGGATTGTTCTCGACTCTTCATGCGAAAAATAACAGGAAGGGTGTACCAATTATTGTACATGTATTGTAACAAATGTTTTTTTATATAATCAGTGGTGCTACAACCTCGTTAGGTCTTGGCCTCAGATTTCTGAATCTGTTTTTATGATCATTTTTTAAATCACACACGCCGTCGAGTTTTTGGGTCTAAGCGGTTTCCTCACGAGGTTTTCCTTCACCGTTCCAGCAAATGTTAAATGCGCACATAGATAGAGTCCATTGGTGCACAGCCGGGGATTGAACCTACGACCTCAGGTATGAGAGTCGCTGAATCCACTAGGCCAACACTGCTCTGAAAAATGTTTTGATATAGCTTGAATAAATGTGAATCAAAAATAAATAATAATAATAAGCTCTACCAGCTTAAATAGACCGTATTGGCTTCATATTGCATTTGTTTCCTTGATTTTATTTAGGTAAAGAGCCTTCCGTGCTTGATATATGAGCAGATTAAAAGATAACTCCAATGATGCACAGCCGTTATTCATACGACTTCAAGGCTGAGCGAAGGCCAATATTACTATTTACTCTAGTGAATGTCGAATATAGAATATATGTTATTTAAATATTTCAACAATTGTTTTTCTCATAGATAACCAGAAATTCACTCACTCTCAAACAAAAACCTCTAAAGTTTCGTATATAAAACAGATATAGGTACAGCAAAAGAAAAAGAGAATGACAACGAAGTAGGTGGATAGACCAAATTAAAGAAACAGCAGGTGGTATATGGTAGAGAGTGGCACAGTGCAGAGAGGAATGGCGGGATTTGGGAGGACTTCGCCAAAAAAAGGCACACAGATACCGAAGAGAATATTGAAATATCTATCCGAATTGAACGGCTATTATTATTATACTAGCTAAAAATCCCGGCTTCGCCCGGGAGTAGATATGAGATGACGTGGTAGAGTCGAAATAAAAAAATAAACTATGACGTAAAAAGTAAAAAAAAAGTTTATTGAAAACGTTTTCTCATTATTTACAATACTTGTTTATAAACAACATTTTTCATTTTATTGTCCGGAGTATATATACATAAATTTTTCGGATTTCCTACTCTTGAGCAAGCTACATATAGCTGACCGTGAGAGAAGCAGGATTCTTTGAGGTTAATGCCACAATATTTTAAAGTTTGTCCTTGCGCTTTGTTAATTGTAAAACTAAAGGCTAATTTTATTGGAAACTGCAGTCTTTTAAATTGAAATGGCAATTCCGAAGAGATCAGAGGTATTCTAGGTATAAATACTGTCTGTCCTTTGGTCTTTCCAGAAATAAGTTCAGCTTCAATGATATTATTCGATAGCTGTTTTACGATCATTCTAGTTCCATTACATAATTTTGGGGAGTTGAGATTTCTGAGTAGTATGATTGGAGTTCCAATTTTCAGACGAAGGCAGTGTAATGGCATTCCTGGTACTTGTAAAGAGTTTAGAAATTCAGTGGGGAAGTTGACACTTTCTTCAATGGATACCATCGTGTCGATCGATTTATATATTTTCTCTTCACCAGGTATTTTCTTTAGAATATTAAAATTGATATTGTCAACAATATTATTTTTAGTGGCCAAAATTGCTCTTTGAAATTGACTTTTTTAATGTTTTGAGAACTAATTTGGATAGCTAAAATTATGTCGCTTTAACTCCAAAATATAAGTTAGCTAATGACGTATAAATACACAAAATTTAATAACTTTATTATAGCAACAAATTAAATTTAAGACTATTGAAATTGGAATTTTAAATTTCGTGTCACTACTACACATGCTACAATTGCTCGCAACGCTTTTGGAAATGCAACCCAAACAATCGTTGTCTTGAACGAAGTTCAAATATTCGATAACAGATGGCGTCACTGCACTTAATTTCCAAGTTGAAGGGTGGAAATTCCTATATATCTTTAAAAACATGCCCTTTAGATTAAAACGGGAACTTTCTTGTTGAGGGGGATAAAGGGCTATCACACCATAAGTCCTTTTATCGTGTCGGGACTCCCTTTTAAGTTTTATCGGACGCACATTTTATCGACTTAGTTTTATTATATTATTATTAGATATAAGCATTTTATCGTACTGCAATACGTACATGTATATGCTAGGCGACAAGTTTAATGACATAATTATGAGAATAATCGTAGAGAATCGTTACAATCAAATAAAAAACACAATTCAATGAAAGACGCGGTTTCATTACGATCATCGGTATTTACTTATGAGAAACTATTGGCATGAGAAATTCTATAGGCATTGTTATTGTTCAAATAATAATTACATAAATAGGTACTATAGAGGTATTGTAAAGTCTATGTAGGTGTAATTTTAAATTAATAAGCGTCGCGTTCAAAATTCGTTTATCTGCCTGACATATAATTATAAAAAATATACACGAAAGTATGACTTTGTAAATTTTACACACATACACATACACATCAATTTTATTAGAACATAAAAATTTCAAAATTAGCGATGAAAAAATTATGAATATTTTCTTTACTCATTTTATACCATTGAATCAAGATTACCCATAGAAACAGCAACAGTCTACCTTTAACATCCCAAGATATTTGAATATTATAATTATAATCATTCTAGTTAATTTAAATCTAAAATAATAACAGTAATTCTCGAGTATGTTTCCCAAACCTAGATAGTTGTTCTGATTTTTCTCACATTGGTATTAGGAAATGGCGTGGAAGAAATTGGAGCAAATTAATAAATCACGCACTGTATAGACCAATAGTAGAATTACAACATTATGTGCAATCAAACTTGTTATCAATAGTGTTATGTGATGTATGTGTATTTCGTAGCGTGGGGAGATTCGCGTCTCTATCACTGATCTTTTATAGGTAAGAATATTGTGACTTCTTTATAAATTAATTAGTTATGCCGAAATATACAATATAAGTCTGCCTTGTCTTTTTTTAGACTGCGTCACAGATATATAATTGACTTAATTTTCAAAGACATTATATTATTTTATAATTGTATCTAAAAAAGGCCTAGTGGCTTCAGCGTGCGACTCCCTGAGGTCGTCGGGGCGATCCCCGGCTGTGCACCAATGGACTTCTTGCTTTGAGCGCATTTAACATTCGCTCGAACGGTGAAGGAAAATTGTCAGGAAACCAGGTTTTCATAGACCCCAAAACTCGACGGCGTGTGTCAGGCTGATACTTGCCTATTTGATTGACAAATAATCATGAAACAGACACAGAAATGTGAGGCCCTAAAAAAGTTGTAGTGACACTAGTAACTTTTAATTTTTATCTAAATAGCAGAGTAACTTGCCAACGTAATTGAATGTATGTAATTATATTTCCATTCTCCTAACCAAAACATTATTTTTCTATATTTTTGTATCTTTAAAAGTATTATATAAAAACTATTACTTCCTAAATGCCATTATTAAGACTGTGAACAAAGTTTACATAATCACGTGAGATAGAGCGGGCAATTAAAAGAATTCTAGAACATGTAAGAGTTACGTTGACTTGTTAAAATCTGTCATAAACATTACATAACGCTGAAAGAAAGCGAAACACCTGACCGGCTACTTTCACTGTTTTTGCCTAGAGGCTACCTCAGTAGGACGCGCTTTCCGAGTTCTTATTTCGCGTAATTTCCACAGATTATATGGATATGTTATAAAACAGGAACACTGTTATCTATACTTCAAATCTAGCCTTAACTGTCAGATGTCCTGGCGTAGGTTTAAAAATGTTTTAATAATGGTGTTCTTGTCATTTTTTGACAACCGATTTCGTTAACTGATTCTAAAAACTGAGTTTGAAGAGACTTTAATTCCATAGAGAATTTTGATGCTTACGAAAACAATATTATTTTAAGCTAGGCATAGAAGACTGATCTAAATCGGAATATAATTGCCCCGAAATTTAATGTAGACCAAAAATGTTGTGAACTTTTCGTCTAATATTCAGTTATGACGAAATATATATATGTTGTAACAACATAGTAAAACGACAAATTCTTTACTTTAACATTGTATCATGCGTATAAACTGCATACTGTCTACAGTCAATTATCCATAATATCTGTATACAATTTTGTTGTTTATCGATGTCTGTTTGTTGACGATATTAATATATATGATTTTATTGGAACAAAAAAAAAATAAACTGAAAAACCTCAGTATTGTGCCTGTATAGTAATTTCATAATTTAACCAATCAATAAGTCTATAGTACACAAAAAGAATATCAAACGTGGTTACCGTCTTATTTATAAGTCGAAACAGCCAAACTTTTAACGTTTTTTTTTTCGAAAATTTCGATGGTGTTAAGAAATTTAATATATATTTCGTTCTCGTTACGCAGTTAAAGTCGCAGGCCGTAAACTTAAATTTAATTCATGGTGTGATAAATGCAATATTTTGAAATGATTGCTAAACGACAAGTTAAACGATCTCTCGCGTGAGAAACTGCGACCCTCGTATTGCATGATAAGCTATCGTAGTCAAATTATTGAGTAAATCTATGTCGTTAACAAGGTATTAATTAACGATACGACCTTTTGTATGGCAATTAAGGTTTATAATAAATTACCAAAAGAATTAAAAGATCTTCCGACTAGAGTCTTTAAGAAGCGACTTGGTGTATTACTTTTGAAAAAAATGTACTATTCAATAAATGATTATTTGCGTGAGACACTGAAGTAGCTGCCAGCGTTAAAGGTACACTGCTACAGGGAGCAAACTATTTAAATTTATTTTCTATTCATTAATTTTTATTATTATTACCTAAAAAATACTGTATATTTGTGTGTTCTTAAGATAATCAAGGCACTGCCTTGTTTTATGTTTTCTTAAAAACACGACATAAAAGCTATTTTTTTAATAGAATCGTAAATTGCTTAGGGTCTGTTATGTACTTTCAGTCTGTAGTTTAATGTCTTTAGAACAAATATTTGAAATCGTATAGCTAACATATTCAAATTCAAAAATCATTATTACGATAACACAATGTATTTGCGATAAACAAAAAAATTAATGTCGTTTTACATACCTACAAATTCTGAAACAGTAGAACGGAAGAAAAAATAATACACTCGCTTTTGAATAGCCATAGATCGTAACGCAATTATAACGGAAAAATAGTGTCATGAACACCACACTTGAGGAAAAAAAGAAAGAAAGATACATTTATCAAAAATAAAAATAAAATATGACTAAAAAGAGATAAAACTAATTTAAAAAAAATTGATAGTGCGCAGAGTTAATTTGCCCTAACCCAGTACGCTCGCTGTGAAGGGTAAGTCGTCAGCGCAGCACTGATTTTCAGTGAGGCCATCAAGAATACATGTTATATGCGCTTGACCTGTCAAAATTTAAGACGATCATGTTTATGTATACTATTGTAAAGTTGATTATGTAATAGGTAACTATGGGTGTTCAAGAAGGACTAAGTTCGGCCATCAGCGCAGCGACTCAAAGCTCCGAATAGTTTAATAAAAAATCAATGGCACTCAGTTACGATTAGGTCTCGGCCTCAGATTTCTGTAACTGTTTCATGATCATTTGTTTATCGAATAGGCAAGTAGGTGATCAGCCTTCTGTGAGGCACGCCGTCGATGGGTCTAGACGGTTTCCTCACGATATTTTCATTTCGAGCGAGTAAATGTTAAATTCACACAGAAATAAAGTCTATTGGTGCACAGCCGGGGATCGAACCTACGACATCAGGGATGAGAGTAGAAGTAAGTTTAAATTTTTATACTTTACGAACGACTGCGTCATTACTCGCAGCACATTTCTAATGAACAAAAACATCGTTAATAAGAAGTGAAAAGGCAGAGGATGTGAAACTTGTGTGAAACGAAACACGTTCTATTTGCATGTTACTTGACCTCTAGAGGTCGACCTGCACTTGATTTATATAGGTCTCGGTACGTAGCTTAGTAACTTAGGATGCTGGGGGAAACGCTAATGTAAGTGGGCGCTAGAATCTGTGGAACAAAGAACGGTTTGGTAGCAGTATTCAAAACTATAACTTATAAGCTCTAATATACCTCGTATATCTTTGACATAATTCAATGAGACGAAGAAAGGCACGCAATTGCCCTAAGGGAACAATAGTGAAGGTTCGAATGTTATATTCTTTGCTTTTAAGTACAACCATTCTATGTAATAGTTTACAACACGCACAAAACACTAACGATGATATTATTGGGGACGTAATTATTATAATTGGCTAATATTGAAATAATTTCAAGTTCATCCTAAACATGATATCAGAACCAAAGCGAATAAAAAAGTGAAATCAAATGTGGCGATCGGCCATGTCAAAAAATTATCACGCTCATCAAAATTTATAAGATACTGGCAGATCCGACAGACGTTGACCTGTACACACGTCTTACATAAAAAAATATATCTTAAAATGTAAATATTTCTGGACTTCACTTGAAAAAATTCATTCAAATCGGTCCAGCCGATTGTGAGGAGTTCAGTGACGTTACCTACAGTAGAATTATATATATAAAGATAACTATCTATCACGAAAACTGTTTTTATTAGCAATGTTAATTTTTAGTACTAAGTTCCTATTAAAATAGAACAAAAGGAAAAAAAATATATATATAATAATGAGTTCTCGAAGTCAAGTAATAATGCAGGATGAAAATTATTGCATTAAAAAACATTTTTGTGATGTGAAAAAGTAGTATGTGATAATTGTAGTGTTTACAAATAAGGCGAAAGGTCACCCCAAGTAAACACTGCCACGGTCAAAAGGATTTTGTTTCGTGTAATATAATTCAATGCCACCTATTCACCTAGTTTTATTCCTATTCGTAGCGCTACGGAGGGTGCTACGAGAATTCCTGTAGGGATGTCCTTTTGTATAAATACAAATTAGATGTTAAAAATTCGATATTAGTGGATATATTCCCGGCAATAAAGTCTCGTGTCGTATAGACGGTTGATCACCTTACTTAAAAACAATGATCATGAAACAAACGAAAAGATGTGCCTGCCTCGTCAGTCATAAGTTAATTCTTCTCTTTCTGTTTAAGTAAGATTAATCCTAGCACGTACGCCGCATTATGTATATCTATTATATTTTCAAGCATGATTCGAGCAGTATATTAAAAGATAACTTAAGGTTTATTATCAAAAGTCCATAGGAGACACAATTGATATTAAAAATGTAATTTTCACCCTTTAAAATCAAAATCAAGCATTAATTCTAAATAAACATTTTCCTATTACAAATAATTTAATACAAGTAATACGAATAAGTATCGCAATACAGCTAGGAAATGCTGCCAGCGTTAAAGGTACACTGCCACAGGGACCAAACTTTTTTAATTTGTTTTAAATGTTTAGGTTAAGAAAACTGTAAATACTGTATATTTGATTGTTCTGATTCCTAATTAACATTTAATGAATCTCCTAGCTTGGATATCGGAATGTATAAGTTATTAAAACCGAGTCATTAAGCAATGACTCAACCGTCCTTTGTCGTTAGATTGGCATACTTTTAATATTTACAAGGGCCTACACAATACATTTATAGGAAAATTTGAATTGCGTCGTAGCGTACATTCTACCAATTAAGTACATACACTACCGTCACGGGATATTAGCACTAACCGCATTGTTATAAGATAGTTTTATCTTTGTACTAAATTGTGAATGTAAAACCGGACTTACAGTTCGCCCCACCAAGCCGCCGGCGCAAGAACGTTCGTTCAGGCTTCTCATTTCGCGTCAATGGCTTCTCGGAAGATGACTTTTCCTTTGTATCTTTTTCCGTTTTTCGGTTCTTGAATTTGTTGTTCCCGCGCCTTGTGGGTCTTGTGGTTGTTTCGATATCTGTGGTGGTTTCTGACTGTGGTCCGATTGTGGTGGGTCTCGTACGACGCGGGAATGGACGGCGTTCCTTCACACTCTGTTGACAAATATGGTAAGTTTCAATTAATATTATATTTACAGTTTATAGTTACTAACTAATCAATAATAAGTAAAATTGGTTTGGTTGTAGTAAGAATTGTAGATGTATCAACAACATTATTATTATTTAATAATTCCATAAATATTTTTGTTATTAAACAAAACACAATCGACATAAACATTAATACAATTAGTAAACTAGAATATACAAATTTAAATTTAATAATTTTCTTAATGCCTCACTCACTACAAATAATATATTGTCAATATGCCTTTGGGAAGGAATTTTGCTTTCCCAATATCGTTTTACTAGCGTGGACACCAGTGTCCCTTAAATATATTTCATTTAACTACTCGAATATTCGTAGCTTTAAAACTTTGTAGGTTAGGCTCTAGTATGTCTTAAAACGGATGTATTACAAAGGTTCCTTATAATATAGCAGTAAAACCTGATATTTTCACATATTAGAACAAAACTATGTTGTTATTTTCAAACCTGTCTAACAAGCCCATTACAAGTGTCAAAATAAATTACTCGAAGGTATTTTAATTGACTTTGATGTATTTATATTGTAATTAGTATATATTGTGTAACAATAATATAGAAAATTACGCTAGAATACGCGTTTTAAAATATACTGTTTATTAGGAATCTTGTTATAGTTGAACCGTTATTAGATAGCTAGTCAACGGTAGTAACAGGATCACTTACTTGCTTATTCGATTGATAAATAACAGATATAGCTTAGGGCTAAGGTTCTAGCGTACTTACAAACGAAATATTAGTTTTCTTAGTCACACACGACCTGTTGTTTTCTTAGTAACCCACGACCTGTTAGAGTTTAACGCCCTAATCTATGACTGGTTGAACATTTTAAATTATTAGTTATTTTTTTTTTAATTTATTTTATACGTATAAGAAACTGGCTTTTTAATGAGATTAGAATATAATTCTATATGAATTTACCTAACAACTGAACTATAGAAGCGATTACATATATCCGGTAGATTTATGTAAATGTGGAGTCAAGAAATATCTCAGTTTCATGACGTAATGCCTCTCTCATCATTTACATAATTTTAACGAATATATTGTTGGGTTAACGAGCGTGTCGCTTTGCACTTTTGTTTTTAATTTAAAATAGTTTCGTTTGAAAGTTGTATATTATCTTTAGATTTTTGAACAAACACAGAAATCTTTTAAGAAATATTTGAGACTAATTTAGAAAATAAGTATCTTTATCTATAAAGCACATTAGTTGCTCTGCAAGTTTTAATTTTTGTGTAAAGAGTGTGATATCCATGTATTTCTAAACTACGTCTTAAATAAACTACAAAAGTTAAATCAAAATTTTGAATTGACTATTTAAAATATTTAATTTATTCCGCACTCCACCGCATACCACTATGCGGTGGTGTACGGAATCATTAGGTGCAAATGATAGTGTAAATGTGTTTATACAATATCATTTGCGTATCTATTACTTCGAAATAACACACATACATTCACAAAAAATGAATTCGAACAATTTTTTTTATGTTTTGCCAAATTTCGGATTCATAAACCTGATTTATATGTTTAAAATTTACAAAAATACGAAGTGATTCATGCATCTACATTCCATCACACATTCTTTAAAGCTTTTAACAATTGGCAATCAAGAAAACTAATTTAAAATGCTCTTGTTTTTTTCGCATTTCAAACTTGTTTATTGCTCAGATCATTAGCAACTTGTAATTTGGTTCAAAATATTGTTTTTAACTCTTAGTAGCTTGTCTCGACTATACAAGGCTTTAGGATGGCAAAAATGTTAATTTTTAAAAATATTTCGGTAATACATGTATATTGTATAATTGTAAAAGACTTTTTGTCATGTTGTAGTCGAGTTTATTTTATTTAGTTTTTGAGTTTATTCGTTAAAAACATGACTTAATCGAACCTCTTTATATTTTTGTTCTCTTATATGTACATCGATATTTATTTCTACTGTTCGAATCGGGCCAACGAAGGTCAATAAATTTGGTTACTTGTCCCATATCAATAAACCGTGGCCACTTCAAACTCAATTAGATGAAGATCTGTGGCATCTGTTATATGGTCATTAACCCTGGATAAATCGGTCAGTTGACCACGAGACACATTCTAAGCTAATTATACTGTATGTAGCTTGAAATTGTGGTGAATTGCTCTTGTGAAACCGCTACTATTCATTACCTATATACGCTCGACGCGAAAAATTATATGTAATTTAATATTTGCTAACAATATAACATGTTTTTATTAGGTTTTCACGGTATATGAGCAATAAAAAGTATAGAATTCTGTCTTAAGGAAATATATTTGAGAACACAAATACATGTGGTATAAATTACTAATTACGTTTCAGGAATAAGATTTTTAATGAAATCTGTTTTTTATATTATTAGATTAGTCGATATTTACAAAACTAGTTCAAATAAAAGTTTCATATGAAATATTGTCTGTTACTTGTAAATAACTTATTTAGAATTATTATTTTCTATATTTGTTAGAATTTTTATTATTATTATATTATTAGAATAGAATAGCAATTGGTATTATTTAACAACCAGTATAAAAGTAATAATCCTAGTGATTATGGTATAATCAATCTCCTAAAAGACAAGGCAAAGCAAGCAAGCAAAGCCAGATAGCGCATAATAAAATTAATTCCGTCTTATGAATAGATATTATGTAAGATTTTTGTCCATTTTTTTAGTTAAATTACTTTTAAAAATATGGGCAAGATTCTGATTCGACGAACGACGCGAATTATGACTCCTGTGTGTCAAATCCATCACGTTTATTACATAACTGACTATTTACTCTATATCCTAGGTTGTACCCCAGGTATCACGTTGTTTGTTCCTTAGTATCCGTTAAAACCAAATAAACGTTAGCGTTGCATAACGCTTTGATTGTTATTGGTTTCAATAAAAAAACGTGGGATGGGCCGGTATTGTGCGAAAATTGGTCTTACAAATCGCTTTTATATTTCAATTTCGTACCAATGAATTTAATCCGTTGAATCCGGGGTTAATAAAACATGGACACTCAATGCCAGCGGGCAAGTGCGTTGCCAGTCTAAGAATTGGTACGCTTTTTTCTTGAAGAAAGTACATTTAGCCGAATTCGTTCGGAAATACTTCAGTGGGTTTGATTACTGTTTAATTCATTTGTAGACAAAATAGAATCCCTGTTATTAATTTAATTATTCTCATTTCTTTTAGCATAAGTAGTTTTTCGTCTTTTTCTGTCAAACGTTTACGCTGAGAAATAAGACAGGTAATTTAAAACGGTACAATTAATGTCTACAAACTTTGTTTTTATTTCGTTCAGAAATAATAACAAAACAGCATATAAATATATAGATTTTCTCGAACTAATAAACATAATTAAAAAGATATAAATGAGTACTTGTTTAAGCAGTACAGGCTTAATTTTTTGTGCGTGGTGTTTACCATATAAGAATAACTTCGTTATAATGGAATTGTGTGGGTATAAGATGATACCTCGTAATTAGTAACGCCTACAGTTACAACCTACATAATATATTTGCCAAAAGTCTAATCCAACTTGACATGTACCAAGATATAAATAATTAATTGTGCTTAGAACTCAAGGATTATTATTTGTCTTGTAATATGAACTAGAAGTCATTGGTATTGTCACGCATTAGATTAGATTCAACACTTTAAGTTTCTAATTATTAAAAAGTTTGTATTATTTTTATTTAAGTAAAACATTTCATGTTTATTTTACGTTTAAGAACAAACCAATTTTTGTCACACTAATATTTGAGTAGAATAGATACTTCCCATTTAATTTACATATAAATATAGCCGTCCCTTTTATTTAGTATCTTGAGGACCAAGACAAAAATTTTCAATTCTTTTATATTGTCTATGGGATGAGTTTATTATTTTGTAATATTTTTGCTAGTGAGACCGTATAAAAACACAGGAAGCCAATGGCTCTACGTAGGTCACCAGTTAAAGGCTTTGTAAGAATGCTGCCTCAAGGTGATCTGGCCGCTTCGTACTTGTAACTAGTATATATTATATGGAACATATAAATTGTATGTAAACAAAATTAATGATCTACGCAGACATATATTCAGACGGATGCAAGACCAGATATTCGCGTTTATTAATTAAAATCGTTACATCGATCGAAGAATAATATAATTATTTTATTGGGTAAAAATACATTTAAGAATAATTTGAGGTCCCGATGGGTCATGTGGTAGAGATATATCATTTGAAGTTTAATATGTGGTCATTTTAAACCCGAGACCATCCAGTTTTGTCATTTGTAATACACGGCAGCAGTGGAGAGAATAAAAAAGTCAATTATAAAAAATGGAAAGTGCGTTTGACCTTTCTTTGACGTAGCGAAATTTTGCATACAATAATGAGATCAAGTATATACAGTATTTTATACATTTGTATTTTGTACTTATTTACATACGTAGTTTGTAAAACACATTACCGTAGCTACAGGTTTAAATTGCGCACTAAAAGCATGTTTACTAGATATATCTAGAATGACAATCAAGGCATAACTACGTGATACGACTATTTAGTCTTGAATCATTTCAAGTAAAGGTCAGAATCTACGCAGAATTGCAATTTGTTGTCTGTTGCAAAATTGCTAGGTGTAGTATTCATGGTGTTATAATAGACACCTTATTATTTATACAATGACGTGGATTGGAAATAATAATAAAAATAAAATTAAAACTATCAATTGAATACAATTACAAGTTAAAAGATAATAAACATTTACAAGTATTTTTTCTTATTAACAATTTTAAGATTTATGATGCCAATGCAGCGGAAAACACATGGTTTTCGCTGGCGTTTAAACTCATACTATGCAAGAAAAAAATTGTGATCAAAAGTTTGTCAAGATTAATTGTATTTTTTATTTGTTTTTAAAACAACAAAGTGTTCATATCAATTGGAAAACTAATAATAAAAGTACGTAGTTATTATATTTTCTTTACCAATTATCCCAGTATAGTCGTACAACTCCAGTTACTTCTTATGGTCAGTAATGCTCAATAATATTTAGTTATAAAGATTAATTTAGTTTTGAAGTATACGTATATATAGAAGAGGGATTTACTAATCAAACAAGTATATAGTATTTTATTCGGGATATAAAGCCAAACCAATGCAATTTAAATAAACTTGCCCATGTATGTCGACATGCGGCCAGCCTTGACTCGGTTCGGAAATTAGCATTATCGGCCCCTTGAATGACTACTACTCACCGAACGTCACCTTCGGATAGACTAATTTGATAACAAGTGTTTGATTTGAACAGACTATTTGATTTAAAAGACTCCTCACATCAAAAACTGCACACAATACTCAGTTTTGTATCGCTCAGCCCGGACATACAACGACCACTTTAAGCCTCGACTTGTGTAAGCTATCGCGGAATATGTTTAATAGAACTATTAAGAAAATCCATAGCGCTAAATCACCTGCATCATAAAAACACCCCACATACACACGCTCACGCACATACCCTCACTTTAACACCGAATTATGTATATTTAGAGTTGTATTTAATTTATTTAATATATTTTTATTGATTTTTCCTTTTGAAAATGTTGAACCTTTTTGTATGTATTATGTATTGGCTATATAAGAAATATTTTTTTTTGTTATATAGCCAATAAATTTAAATTAAATTTGTTTTGATTTTCTTCTTTCTTCTTTAATTATTTTTATTATTACTTTATAAGCAAAATATAGTTTTTGGTTGTTTGACTAAACATCTAAAATTATTTATTAATTGTTTATAATAATTAATGCTCTGCGCTTTAAACATTTGGCATCAACTTTATGCTTAATATAAACTGATTTAAGTTATTATAAAGTAAGGATATATATACTATTATATATACAAGGGCATGTATATGCATCAAGTTTTATTTAGCTTAGTTTATAAAAAAAACTAAATTCACACACGCTATTTAAAAAGAATATTTTTTTCAAATTTTCTCTAAATGACACGTAAGCGTTTTGATACCTTAATTATCCCCTAACCTAAATGACTATTAACATAGATTACATAAAACTCAAGGCTCAAATTAAGCAATTAATTTTCAAGCTAATATTAAACAGCCTACACGGCTAGTTACGTTATATATTTGTATTGATCTTGACTGTTTTGCATAACCCGAATACCGGTGTTTTGTAATGCTATGGTGGGATTTCACTCAAAGAATTTTCTTAAATACATGCTAGCTGGATTCGTGATTTTTACATTAGACGATTTTAGGTGTATTACCTCTGAAACTAACGCATCTAATATGATATTAAAATTTAGATTTACTCGTTATAAAACATACTCGAAATTCCGCGTCACCAAAAGTCTTTAATATCATATAATATAACATAACGCATTCTTTGTAAAATTGCTTTTAAATCGTTTGCAATCTCTTAATCGATCCAAACTATCCAAAGGTATTTTTTAATTACAAGCAATTAGCACATAAAAACAATTAATATTGTACTTTACGCTTATATTTAGAGCATTGAATTTTCTGCATCCGAACTCAAGTTCCATACATATTTTTATAAACGATTTAAATATAAAGAATTTTAAGAAGACACGACCCGAATTTCATATATAAATTATATATTAAAAGAATTGCCGCAATGTAATGGTCTACCCAATCAGATTTTAGATTGCCTAACGCCAACCAACATAAAAAGTAAATTAAAAAACTACTTTTATATGCATTTGTCGCGCTCCTAAACAAGACTGCTATGGTTACATTTATACAAACCACAGCGGTTTTCTAATGTAACATATTATGATTGTATTATATTATTTTGTAAAATAAAGGAAAAAAAAATATATTATATATATGTGCAGTAGCCCCTATTTCATTAATAACTTTTCTTAAAAGGTAAGAAATCGATTAGGATTCTGTCCTGCCCTGAAAGTGTATTTTTGCGATAACGATTATTAAAATAATAATTTTAAAAACACATTTCCATACAAGCTATATCAAGTACGCGTTTTTATTCCTACATTAGAATTTACCAATAAATTAACATATAAATTGGTCACTCAAGCCATATTTAGTAACATGGCAATTTATAAACATTTTTTATTGTAACTTCGGAATTTTTTATGACTCTGATGTCATTTAGCTAGTACCATGTTAAGGTTTTACATAACTTATATAATTCTATCAGAGATATAGGAATATCAAAATTATTGAAAGACATATTAAAAATAATTATTAAATTATGTCCATTAAATTGCGACAATTTACTTTTCGACTTGTTTTAAATTGTAAAGGAAATATAGTCCAAACTACTTTCACAATAATTCACGCGAAATAGTTTATCACGCGATTTATAATATAAAAATACAAACATTGATTACGAATTAGATAAATATTATACAACTACAGGTTACGGAGAAAGTTGTTTTCACTCGGATGCTGCGCGGTTTTTAGAGTGGTTATCCATCAATGGAGTGAAACCGAATGCGCACGAGAAACTTGGATTTCGATCAAGTTGAATTATGAGAGATTAATGATTTAGCCCCGATATTTTCTCGACTCTATCTTAGGTAGACATGTAGCAACTGAAGCCTTTTGATATAAATGCTTTATATATCTATTTTTCATAGTTGCTCCCCTCACACTTTGACATCGATTTTTATTATTCGATAGATTAATTATTGTTTGTTATGTATTATTTCATTTTCATTGTATTAATGTATCAATCTGCTGAGCGTTGGCAAGCTTTTAAAAATAAAAGACTATTTAATTACGCAAATGGAAATTATTTAACATAAAATTAAACAGTTACGTACTTTTCATTAACAGACTATAATATTATGCACTAAATTTAGATATTTAACTATAATATTTTTTTGTATGAAAATAGTCATATAAAATACTAGCGGAGTTTAATCTGCTGTACTCTGCTCTGCCGAAATTTTATATGGAGCCAATAGAACAATATGATTTTTTGAATTACCTTAAACGTATGTGCAAAGTTTATTAAACAAAACAATTAATAGTACTTTTCTTTGTTTCAGAAGTCGGACTGTGGCAGACTCCTTGCTTACACGAACGAGAAAATTGTTAAATAAATACCCAACCTGGATACTTTCTTTTCATTGTGGATTTTGCTGAATTATATATGAGATAAAGACGTCAAGATTTAAATTGTATAATAAACTGAGCATACATTTGTGTTTTATTTTCAAACCCGCTTATTTTTTTTACCAAATAGGTGTCAGTTGACTGTCAGTTTGACTTTAATAAGATTCAAAGAAAGCGATGAATTTGATGAAGCTATTTATTTTATTAAATATATTTTATTGAGATCATTTTTACTCATATTAAAAATCCGAAGAATTTGTTTGTTAGTAATACTATTTATTTGACTGAAAATTTCTGATACCCTTTGCTAATGCCTATTCATTGAGATATGCTACGAGTATATAACATGCTGATACAACCAATAAATTAATTAATATTGTTTTTTACAACCAAATTAACGTGGATGAAACCAATTTTTAAAATAATATAGTTTCTCATGAAGAGAACTGAACTTTTAAATCAGCTAAAATTATATAAGTGTATGTTGGAATTAAAAGCTAATTCTTAGAATAAATTAAGTGTGGAAATAAATTATCATTGCTTGCTTTCAAAATTATACTTATGAGCATTTATGATTTGCATAGTAATTAATCTTAATGAGATTTGGTGATTTTGTAAGCGAATTAAAGTTGATAATTATTCATTACACAGTCGTTAAAAACGTACATCATAATGAATTTATAAAAGTACATTCTGGTTTTGTATGCAAAGATATAGCAGGTTTAGAAAATTTAAAAATTTCGATAATAACAGCAAAAAACAAAAATGTTTGAATCACTGCTTAGGCCCATAACCTATTTAGCAACTTAAACATCAATCAATCAATAATCTCAATCTCAATAATCTTTTGTTTTTTCCTTCTAAAGTGACATAACAGAGAAAGACAAAACACTCAATAGGGGTACGTTTTAGATTAATAATCAACTGTTAAATTGTGTAAATAATTTAAGTAAAATAAATATTGATTGTAATATTATTTTGTCTATGGGCTAATTTTATTTAGGTAAAGTATTTTTAATGAATTAAAGCCTATTGCTTGAACAAGGGCGCTTAAATTAAATACCGCCTCTATTGTCAAATAAGTTTACTAAAGATTTGATTTTTTTATGTTTGTTAGGCAAACAAAAAGATAAACTCGGGTCTTACATCGAAGCGTTGCATGCAATAATAAAAGGGCGCAAACGTATAGCATATTATGTAAGAAAAGTTTGTGAACTTTGGTTAACCCAGAAAGTTAACTCACGTAATTAACCGCTAACAAAGATGAGTTAGTCATTAAACGTAATCGTAATTGAGTAACGTGTTCGAAATTTAAAATGACTTTTATAATTACAGATTCAAAAAGATATATCTTATCTAGTTAATATGGTCAGTATCAAATTGTTCAAGACATCGCTGTGGCTCAGTTGGTAACGCATAAACCGAAAGACACGTTTCACGCAAAGCACGTCAATGTGCCTATAAAAATAATCAATTAAACACAGAGCAGGCGGAAAATAATAAATGGCTCAAATATAAGACTCTTTCCTCCAACTTCGATTTTGTTCCCTTTGGAGTAGAGACTCTTGGGCCGTTGGGTTCAAGTGCACTGGCGCTTGTTAAAGATTTAAGTTGGCTGGTAGACAGTACCGGTGATCCCAGAGCTGGTGCTTTCCACGCTCAACGAATAAGTATCGCGATACAGCGAGGAAATTCTGCCAGCGTTAAAGGTACACAGCCCAGGGACCAAACTTTTTGAATTAGTTTTAATTTTCTTTTTATTAATTTTTAATAATTATTATTACTATGTAGGTTAAGAAAGTTGTAAATACGGTATATTTTATTAAACACATACATAAATATTTAATTACTTTCTTAGAGGACTCTTATCTTAATCACATCGCAATCGTGGTTAGAAAGAGACAACCAACAGCGCAGAAATTAGATTGCGAGTCCATTTTGATCGACCATATTAGCGCCATCTGTTTTCGGATTTAAAAACAAGCGTATTAATATGTTTAATTAGAGAATAAGTAAATGCCCGAATAACACAGTCAGTATGTCTCGAAAATGTACCAAAACCTGATTATTACACATAAAATTTCTTAGAAGTTGGTATAATATGTGAAAACAAAAATCTTGTATTACAAAATTCTGATGACATCGCGTGAGAAACACGTTGTCATGGAAACGCGTCACGTCGAAACCTCGGAGCTTCACTTTCAAACGACATTACTATATCTATAATTGTATTGTATAGTTATCCAATCTAATACTATCCGCCGAACGTAAAACTTATAAACTTTGACCATTTACACCATTCAAGTGAATTAATATTTTTTAATAATAAATGATATCCACGAATTTGATGGTTTGATTTCGAAGTTTTCCTGTCTCATTTACTTAGATGAAATGTTATTAACACAAATTGTTCTATATGATCTGTAGCTTTCAGTAGATCTTAAGTCAAAATCTATTATGACTGTGATTCTTAGGGCCCTCGACCTGAGCGTTAAGTGTGGCTCCCGTATTAGATTTGGCAAACGGGAGCAGAATTTGCGACACTGAATAGTAGTCTATACATTTAGTAGGTAAGTTTAAAGAATCAAAACGATATTCATGAATTAGGTATTACTAGTCATTTTTATTGATTTTTTCTTTTCGTAAATGTTTGAAAGTTTTTGTATATATTATGTATTCCATCTTTGGCTATATCTTTAGTATATTTGTTTATTGAATGTATTATTTGTTAGCTGCTGGATTACAAAATAAATAAATAACCTATGATGACAACACGTTGCTTGCTTAACAGTTTTCAATGTATGTAGTTTCAAAGTCAAAAGAATGATTTGTTTTTATTTGCGTGTAAAACGTGTAATACTCGGGTATTACACGTTTAAAAAAAAAACTTTAACGGACATGCGCAATGAATGTATTACATTATTTACACAACTTAAAGTTTTTTTGCTCATGGTCAGCAAGACTACCATTAACGAAGTTTTATTAACATTATTATTACCAAATATGTCCACCACAGCGCATCGTTATATATATATTTTATAAAATGTAGTACGATTATATTACTGTTTTGTTATTTTATTTTGAATCCTAACCACATATTAGAATTTTTTTATTCATTTCCTTTTGAAGTCGTATTCTAAGTAGTTAGTATCGAATCACTTACCTTTATTAATATATTCCTTCACTAAGTTTTTTTTCACGACATCAATTCCCATTAAAAAAACATAATTATTTCTAATACTAAAAATAACGTGGAATAGTTTTTAAAATGTTTATTACAAATTCTTATATATGGAGTTACAATAAGATTACATAATCCCGATTCTTTTATATACATGGTAACAAATTTAATCATAATTCTAAAAAATTAAATATTCTTACACGTAACATAAACTAAATCGTTTGAAAGTCTTCAGACCAAAACGGATTTACACAATAAACAATATTTTTGGTAAGAAAAACTTTCTTTAAAATAATTAAGTTAAAGCTTTAATCTCTATGTGTGACTACAATCAAACCAATCCTATATGTACACGTTACTGGAAATAAACTTTACAATTCCAACAATAGTAAAATTTTTTTGAAGCATTTTTAAAGCACCCCACGATATATCTGCCTTATAAATAATTCAGTCAAAACGTATGTAAACTAGTTTAAATGTCTCCGTCGGTCGTAGAAGGCGTGGTTAGTCTTCGCGGAATAAAGGCAGGTCGGATGGGCCTTATTGGTTTTACTAATGGACGTCTCTCAGTCGTCGACCTTGGAGGTTCAGTTGTAAAACTTCTCAAGGTTTTAGTTGTACTCTTTTTCCTAACATCTATAGGTACGTTTTGTGCCCTATTCGCAGAGAAACGTGTTTTACTGGGAGCGAATGGGGCTTTTGTCGTTGTCGTGCTGTTTTTCCTGCCACTTCTCCCTGGAATGTACTTTGTTATGTTGGATGGTCTAATTATTGGCCTTTTAGGGAAGTACTTAGATCTTTTAGCGTCTAGAGGAGATATTTTAGCGGTGGTTATTTCTTCTGTAACTGCTTCGGTTGTGGGATTTTCAGTGATTGTAACAGCTTCAGTTGTAGGGGCTTGAGTGTCCGGTGATGTTGATTCTGTTGTTGATAGAAGGTCTAAAAGAGGGCTTGTGCTGGGATTATGTGTTGATGTAGAGGTAGGAACTGATATTGTTGAACTTTCTGTTGGTTTACTCAGTGTTTCAGATGATGATAGGACTGAAACATATACTGGATATTTTACAGTAGCATCATCTTTTCCTGGAGATCCTTTTAATTCCTGTCCATTTGCAAATGTTGATATACTTCTTCCGGTTTCAGATTTTGAAATGGGTATATCAGGCTCCTCTTTTTGTGTTGGAACAGATGAGGAGTAAACAAGAAATGGTTGATTATGACTTTCACTAATTTTTCGTGCTTTAATAGGGTTTTCAGTCTTAAAAAGACCTTCTAATGATAAAGTTGAAGGATCTGCTACAGCAGTGCGGGATGTAATAACTTCAAATTTTTTTGCAGGTTTATTTTCTTTATTTTGTTCGTTCTCATAAGCAGCTGGAACAAACTGCCAATTAAGGTGACTATCTTCTTCCTCTGGATTTTCTTTCTTTTTATCTTCGTTAATGTATGACAAAAAGTCATCGTCGCTGATATGTTCTACTGGAGGCTTACTTTTATCTAAGATCCTTTTTTCTGGCGTTGATATCCTATTGACGTGTCTATAAGCTTCATTCATACTTTCGGACGCCACAAGATTTTCTTTGTGAGTATCTGAATAATCAAATAAAGCTCTAGCGTTTCGGGCCTCGTCTATGCGAATAGGGTTATCAGGAGGATTGTCTACGGGATATACGTGTCCTAGTCTTGTTAAATAAATTGGGATTTCATCTTCCACTATTTTTATAAGACTAAATCTACTAACTTCACCGATTTTGTCAACAGTTGGTTTCTTTTCAATCATCACTTTACCCTCCTCAATGAGTGTAGTTTCATTTTTTTTATTTAGTCTATGTTT